GTGGCAGTCGATAAAACAAACAGAGATTAGCAAACCCATAAAGGTATTCAGAGTACTACCACTCCCTGAAATTTCGAAAATTCTGGATGTTTGTTGTGTAACTGGATAGCACTATTTAATTACTTTATACTGTGTTTTCTTAAAAACAATTTTTTCTTGGCACCACTCACTAAATTCTATATTTTTAAATTCAATAAAAATATAGCTAATATGATCATCATAATGTTAGTTTGTAAATAATTTAAATAATTAACAATTTTTACGACTCTTATACGATTTTTTTTCACAGAAATTTGTAACAATTTAATATGGAAACCGATAAAAAAAGAATCCGATTTAATATAACAGAATAACCAATACATGATAATGACCAGGACTACTGAAATTATTTAATCATTCATTTCATTTTTATCAGTGGCAATATCAATCATTCTTTTATTCTTTAAAAATAGCTGATAGAATTTGCTTACAAAACATTTCTTTACAAGTAAACCAAATTTTTTGTCATGCAAATATCCGAAAAAACTTAAAAGCCTTGTTTAAGAGCTTCTATAAAACCTATTAAAGCGGTTGGCCTTTTACCAAAGTTGCGAATTGAAAAGAATTAGTTTTCCATGGTTTCTGGGTGGTGTACTACTACTGCGTATCCGCAAATCTTTTGTTTCGTGCAACCCCGACTGAAAAACCGATAAAAAAGAGAAAACAATATCTTGCCTCTGAATAACCATATATAATAATCAGGAAGCGAATCTCAGTCGTGTGGAAGTGGGCGGGGGAAGGGGGAGGGGCCCTTCCAGACGTTGGATGACGATGACGGCTTATGGACTTATAGACAAGAACGTTATTGTTGTTGGTAATGCCATTTGCTACAATGCGGCTTTGTCGTTTTTGCACTGCAGTTTTTGCCATTTGTTTGTCTAGACCAACAAAAGCGGGCAAGTTCCCATTCCTCCTGCTCCTCGCTCTTTTCTGCACTTATCAGTATTCGCAGCAGTCAGTATTCCCTGTGCCATCAACAATTGTCCAGCAGGCAATTGTGTAAATAGCCTATTAACTATGGCCACCGACTAAAAAGAAGCAGAATAGTGTGCGTAATTGAAGAAAGGGCAAACGAAAGGAGGAGATGAAGGAAAGAAAGAAAAGAAGAAAGAGCAGCTGGAATATGACAGCTGATCGGGGAGAAAATGGGATTTTAAAACTATTTGCCATGTAAGATTCCCTTGAAAATTATGGATAAAGCACAGAGTAAAATATACTTGAAATTAATATATTATTAACATAAATATTATACATATCGATTTTGAATCAAGTAATAAATTTTATCGGACATCAATAAAAACGAAATAAAGTAAAAATTTGTTAACCCCTAAGTTTAATTTTTGAAGTCAAGCAATAACTATTAAAATAAATAAGTATATTTTATTTAACAGTGTTACTTTTTTCTTTTGAATTAAAAAAAAATCTTTTTCTTACTATGTAGGTCAAAGTTATATCTTTTCCAGGATTTAAATATTTGGGAGTTGGAGAAATGCGACTGTATATAGACAGCAGTAAAACAAAAAGCAACAGGCGTTGGAAAAGCTTGAAAAAGCTTTTTTCAGCCAGGCAACAAGTTGCGAATAACAGGACTAACCGAAGCAAGAGACATTGAGAAAGAGAGAAAGCAATAATCGCACTCTCTTCCAGCAGCTGGTTTCTCGATTTTTGTTCGCCTTATTGATGTGTTTGTAATTTACACAAAACAAAACAGCGGAAAAAACAATACACAATTCATTTATATGTATGTATTTTTGGACTATTGCAAAAACGTGCAACAATGACGTCGATGCGCTGCAATAACAGCAACCAAAACAACAAAAAAAAAAGCCAGCAGCTGGAAAATACACAAACGATGTGCCAACTGATGGAATTGAGCATTCTCTCCCTTTCGCCCCTCTCTCTTTTTTTTATTTTTTGCGTTTACGTTTAATTGATACAAAGTTTCCAACGCGTGTCTATTTATAAAGGTGTTGGTGTTGTTTCTTACGGCAGAGGCGCTATTTTCGCGCATTTTGTTTGATTTGATTCGATTGTGATTGCCCAATGCTGTTGTTGTTGCTGTAGTTGTGGCTCCTGCTCTTGTTGTTGCTGCGCCTGCCCCAAAAAGTAAATAAACAAAAGGATCGAAAAGCAGCAGCAACAATTACAATAAATGTGTATATAATTGTACAGGTTTGAAAAGTTTACACACATACACAATGGCGGCCAAGAAAATAGTTTATCCGAAAACATTTCAAATTTCTTTATTTTTGAGATATAAAATACTTTTCATTGATAACTTTTCTTTTTGTCTTTTAGGAATTAACAATTTTATTTAATACAAACAATTTAGTACAATATATAACATTTTGTTGGACCTTTCAAATATTTTCAACATATCTAAATTTAAAGTTCTTTATTGAGATTTTTATTTATATTTTTGGCGAATTTGTTGCTATTATCTTAGCCACCGCTGTGCACAAGCGTACAGGTTGCCAAACTGAAAATTTACGTTTTCCAACCCATCTTTTCCCCCAACAGCTCCCGCGAAATGAAAATAATTTGGCGGTCGATTTCTACGCATGTAGAAGTTTTAAATTTATGTTTTATTGCTGACGTTATTTGTTTACACGCACATTTAGCGTTAAGCGATCAGTGTTCGGTGTTCGGCATTTAATGTAACCAATGGATCTGCTGACGCATTAGCATCCCCCAATCCCAATCCATCTCAATCAGGCGAATGTTTGGAAAAATTAACCAACAGCCAGAGGATGCCTAAACAGACAAATCATTTCTGCCTGTCAATTGCAATCGATCGGCTCTAAACGTTCGATTTCTTAATTATTGCAGGCCTCTCACTTTGCGAAAAAGAAGAACGGGCGAAAAACAATCGCAAGTTGCAGCAGCAAAATATTTCGTTTACTTTTAATTGAGCCTGCGTTCGTTTCTTTTCCTTTTTGTGTGTGTTGGCCCACGCTTTATGCTCTAATTCAGATGGTTAGAAATCGATTGCAGCAAAAAAACCAAAAGTTAACCAAAAGCGAATCAAAAAATCCAAGCTAACCCTTTCAGCGACTTCTGTTTACACTTCAAGTTTCTTAAAACCCATACAAGGCTAAGCCGTGAATCAGCGAAAATAGGAATAATTTATATGCCTACAGTCACAATTGTATAAGTTTGACTTGAGTAATTTTGCTTTCAAACTATAAATACATGGTAAAAATTTAAAGACGATTTCTATTCAATTAAATAACGCTTTTTTTTTAAATTTACGTTTAGTTACAATTTTAAGTTAGAAATTAATATGTAAATTAATCCTTTTCTGTTGTTCATATATTAGGCCATCAAAGTTTTGTCGATTTTTTTTTAAATATTTGCAAATCTTTAAAAATCACCTTCACCCTATTTATTTGAAATGCAAAGTTCGAAGATCAAATGACAATAAAGATTCTTTTTGTTTTTATTTTTCTTTGTATTACATTTTCAAGGTGTGATATGTTGGTTCAATATTTGCAAGTAATACTGTTTATTATAAAACCAAACATTCGCTGCTTGCTTTTTCTGCTGCCGCACAAATTATGTAAATTGGCTGGCACATCTAAGGGTTAAGCGAACGCTTAACGCTCAAGTGAAAATTGGTGAAAATCCACACAAATGTGTCAACAAGTGACAAGCAACAACAAGAGCGATATCACAACAACAACAAGAGCGTGGGCTATGAAAACAACAAGAGGCAGGCTTTCCAGTGAATTAACTCCCCTGAAGATTCTTGAGGCTGCAACCGAATCTACATCTACATCTATATACATCTAAAGATCCGGTTCAGCAAGTTTACCGCAAGCTAGTTACACTACAACAACAACAAAAACAAACATATTTGTGTACGCCGTACACCTGCGGTTAAAATAATAGTAGTTAAGACAAAAAATAAGTTCAACAAAGTTCATTATTTAAAGTAAGAACAAATAAACATTTTTCTAGTCATCTATTCAAATTATAATACCTTCAACAGGAGCACACAGAAAAAATTCTTATATGTTAGTCTAGCACACGAACTGCATACTAATGTCATAGTTAATTCTATCTCGAATGATAATTCTCTTCGCTTTCTTGTCTACCATTGATTTACGATGTTGTCAAACACTTTATGTTTGGTGAAAATATATAAAAATGGCTGGAGAATTAATGACAAGAGTAATTATTTCCACTGAAACACTAATAAAATGTCTAAATTCATAATTTTCAAGACTTTTACAAATTTATTGTTACCCTAAGATTTACTTGAGTTAAAATATATTTAACTTACTAACAATACCGTTTGTCTTTTTTAACCCTTAGTCATATTATTATTTTAAAAAATATATTTTTTGCCTATCATAAATATGAGAAAAATGCTATTACGTTTGGTCGAATATGAAACGAAAATAAATAAAAGGTTTAGTAACTCCATAACAAATAATTAATATCGGTTATTTCTTTAAATATACTTTTAATGCTTATTATATATATAAATGTACATTTCTAAGGTTCTCATATAGAACTATACAAAATTAATACTTATTTTCTCCTTTAATGTTAATGTCTGTTTAAAACGACAAGATTAATTGGAGAGTAATTTTTAATAAATGCTATAAAACGCAATTTGTATCAATGGAATGTCCAAAATAACTTAATTATCGTTTATTCATTTCCAGACTTCCTAAATTTTCTTTGGATTTATCATATTTTCTTCAAATGGCAAAGAAAATAATTTAAGACCTATTCATCGCGATTATTTTGATTCAGAATGAAGTGAATAATTAGAATGAAAGTTCTGTAAGAACCCCATAAATAACAATTTGTATTTGATACGAACAATGGATTGTCAGAAATTAGTGTATCATCGTTTAGTCATTTTCAAATTTACTGGTTTCCTCCTCAAATTTCCGATGCTATTTAGAGGACGCTTATAGTGTCGATTGCCCCACCTTCATTGGACTCACCTGTGCAGTCGGTCCGTTTGCTCGGCTTCGTTCTGCAGATCGTTGATGGCGAATAGCTCCATTTCGCCGCTGCGCCCGAATATTCCATTGGGGATCTTGCGCAGAAACTTCTTAAGAACGCTGGCGATTGTGAAGACCGAGTAGTTGTCCACGTTGACCAGTCGACCGGCCTGCAGGAAGTGGATGAGCTTCTTCATGCTGCCCTGGTGTCCGGGGGCGCGAAATACATCCCGCCGATTCGGTGACTCCTTGTTCAGCTTGAGGATCAGGACGAGCAGGGGTCCGGGAATGTTGTTGTGCTTGCAGACCTCTTCCAGTGGCACCCCGAATTTGACCTTTTCCAGGCGATACGGATAGGCAGGGGCGGTGGCGGGGTGGCCGCAGGAGGTCACCACGTTGCCCAAATCCGCGGCACGCCTATGGACGCGTTCTGCCCAGCTGGACATGGTTTTTCACGCGGCTTTCTCGCGATTTTAATATGGTGCGTGTGTGTATGTTTGTGTGCGAGTTTTCACGAGCGGAAAATGTGCTCGGCAGATTTTATGGTTTTATGCTGGCCAAAAACATGTTCACTTAACTGGAATGTTAGTTGTTTCGTTCGCTCTTTATACCCAGGAATTGAAATTTAATTTGTATCTTTTTATTATCCTATTTTTTATTCCTATTTGTAACCCCACAACTTTTGTTTTCCTGCCAGCTTTGATTAAAAAATCACCACCACTCCTGCTGTATGCATTTTTTCTTGTTTCGCGTCTCTCTTTTCCACTGCGTTTCTTCGTTTCTTTTTTCGCTTTTCTTCTCATTGGCCAACGCCTCGGAGCTTTGATTTGCTTTTTAATTCTCCGCTTGCTGAATTAAAGGCTCCATACTCGGATTCGGTTTAATTCTATTAAAAACTCGGCGTTTGGCGTTCACTGACGGTTAGTTTTGCACTAGTTTAGTTGTGTTATTCGGGGAGTGTTTAATTATTTTGTGGCGTTCGCCCGTACGCACGACTTTTTTCGCTGTATATTGTGAACGGAGTGTTACCGTAGAGCCGGCGTTGCAAAATACCAAAGGCTTGTGGGACAACATACCAAAATTCCCGAGGAAAATACCTTAAATATACAAGACAAATAAACAAATGGTGGGGGTGCTCAACAGTTTTATTTATATTTTACCTCATTATGTACCAGTCTGATTCCAGTGCCATATTAGTTCACATTTTGAATGTGTCTATTTTCATTGTCATTGTTTTACTTTAAATTACAATTCTGAAAAATGTGTTTCAATTTGGTATCTCGATTAAATTGCAAAGTCAAATGAAAGTCGATCTCAAAGCACAAATACTATTGAACTATTATTAGTAAGCACAAAAACGATAATTGCGTTTTCTAATTGTCCGTTTAAGAGAAAATTTGTGTACGCATACTCATTTGAAAATTGGTGTTAGTGGAATTGTGCTATCATATACCATTAAGCCTTCCCCACTAAAAATGAGTCCGAAAATATCCATCATTTCCTTTAAACACATTTAACTATTCATAGGATAACAGCAACTGTTATTGTGTTATATTTAAAAAAAAACGATATATATTTAATTCATAATCAAATTTTTTAAGATATTCTAAAATTTTTTTTTCTATAAAAATAAATTTTAATAATGAAATAATGTTGCTTAAACTATAACATGATACATACAATCGTCAAAATAAAACAAGAAACATTAAACAGGAATACAAATTATTATCGATATTTTAAAATCACTTCTTTCAGCATGCCGGGATCAGAAGGTGGTAGAAGAAGTTCGTGTCAGAGTCAGGGATGCAGTGGGAAAAATATCAAACAACAGAGAATAATTTAACAATTTATTAAAATTTTCAAGTTACTGGAAAAATATATAAATGTATATTTTTCTTCATGCTAAGTTAAAAATTATTATAACTGTTAAAAACTCATATATAATTAGTTTTGATGTTGGAATATATCGCATATATTCAAAATATAAGATATTAACGTGTAACACAAGGTATTATTTATAACAAAACACCAGTGTTTGGTTACAAATAAGATAAAAGCTTTCTTAAAACTGAGAGCTTATGACGTCACACTTTTTATCCCGCAGAACATGCGCAAACGTCACCTTCTCAGCGGCAGAGTTGAAAGATGTCATCCCTGGCTTAGATAATGCCACCCTGGTTTTTGTTTTGTAAAGTGAAATTGTTGCAAGTCAAACAACAATAACAAAAAGCATTAAAAACGCGTAAAAATCGGCTAAAACTCTTGGCTACACAAGTAGGTAGGCTTAAGTCGGCGTTGAGATATATAAATTCTTTTTCAACTCACATTTCCGTTGGCAATCAGTAATTAATTTTGTGCTGTCTGCTGTGAAAGTAGCAACAACAAAATCAAGTAACGTCAAGAGCAAAAATAGTTTTCCAATTTCAAAACGACAAATATAGAAGTTTTTTTTACCCGTACATAAGATATCCAGATTTTAGACCAAATTTTGTAGTTTAGCCAGCGAAAAGGCGAACAGTCATCGCTTTTGTGACGTGCTCACCTTGAATTCATCAGCAGGCAGCAAGATATTGACCCTGCACATTGACACTCGCGCGCACAGAAATAGTAGCTACTCTTAAAACTTACCTCAGATATAAATCAAATGTTGATATGTTTTCTCGTATGGAAAGTTTTTGCATCGACAGAGCACGGCGACAACTGCAACTGGGTGAACAAATGACCACCGCCGCCTCCACATCGCAGCATGCGACATCGTCCTCCACATTGATGGCGGGCTCAGGATCCCTGGCCACCTCGTCGTCCGCCTCAGCCGCCACCACGACCACGCCCAGCAGCTCGGCGGTGCGGGCCTTGGCCATGGAGTACAAGTCACTGCAGGAGGAACCGGTCGAGGGATTCCGCGTCAAGCTGATCAACGACGACAATCTGTTTGAGTGGGAGGTGGCCATCTTTGGGCCACCGGACACACTGTACCAAGGTGGCTACTTCAAGGCGCACATGAAGTTTCCGCACGACTATCCGTACTCACCGCCATCCATACGCTTCCTGACCAAGGTCTGGCATCCGAATGTTTACGAGAACGGGGATCTGTGCATATCTATACTCCATCCGCCTGTGGATGATCCCCAGAGCGGCGAGCTGCCCTGCGAGCGCTGGAACCCAACGCAGAACGTGCGCACCATCCTGCTGTCGGTTATCTCGCTACTCAACGAGCCCAACACATTCTCGCCGGCCAACGTGGACGCCTCGGTCATGTACCGCAGATGGCGGGACTCACAGGTTAGACTGGCTCTTCTAGTCGAAGTAAATGTCTAGTATATGGACTTCCAAACACGAAAGCGAGTGAACCTGCGATTCGTCAGTTTGAAAACTCTGCAGGACTTTTGCTTTAAACACTTCGTTTGTAAATAATTTAAAGTCTTAATGAAAAGTCTTAATGAGAATTGGTCATTTTCATTCAGGATCTACTTTAATATTAATTTAGATTTTATAGAAGACGGTATTATCAAATCTTGTTTGAATTTTTACTTATTTTGAAGTAAAAACTTTAATGGACCATTTAATTTTAAATGATTTAAACTCTTCTTACAAGAAGAATTAACAATTAATAGTAAACCTAAAAAACTCTCACGTTTAAATTGCTGAGAAGAATTTCAAATTATGTGAGCTATAACCAGATTCTAAAAAAACCCTCCTAGAAGTCCGTATACTAGACATTTACCCCCCTAATTGGCTCTTAAATAAGGACATACTAATTTTAGGGTAAGGACAATGAGTATCCCAACATCATACGCAAGCAGGCCCTGGCCGCCAATGCCGAGGCCAAGAGGGAGGGCATAGTGGTGCCCATGACCCTCGAGGACTATTGCCTGAAGCCCACGCGCAAGCCCACAACGGAATCTGGCCTGGATGCCAACTTCTACGATGATGATTTCGATTTGGAGACGGAGGACGATCTGCCCACAGATGACGATTTCGATGAGGACGACGACGATGATGAGGATGAGGACGAGGATGAGGAGGACAGTGCCACGGCGTCGATTAGCAAAAATAATGGCGGCAGCAGCAAGTGCAAGAACAACGGGCTGGGCAGGGAGGCGGCCGCAGCCGGAGCGGACGATGCCGAATCTGCCGATGACAGCGGAAAGGGAGAGACCACATAATGCAGCCAGGGTAGAGTCGCATCATCTCTTCCTCCCACTCCTGCCCTAGGAGGCGAGCCACCGCCTTTTCATTTCTCCAACATTATTACTATGATTAATGCTAATTATAAACGTTGCAAAACTAAACCGAACAACTGAGAAAACAATTATTTACCTAGTTTATACGAGGGTAGAATGAAACAATGGTCCTAAGCTGATTTAACCTACTCAATTTTACTTTGATAACTAAGATGATTCGTATAAGCTATTGGTACGAGCGGGCTAACTCAATTTCCAGCCTGTGGCAAGCAATTAATAGAGTTCAGGGACTTCTCCAAATCCTTTTTACGCAGCTAATAACAGACAAAATAAATAAAAAACAGATCACACATGAAACTGATTATCAATATACATGATATATACAGCATATGTACTAAGTATAAATTAATATTTAAAAATATACATACACACATTTTTATGATCGAAAGCGAAATACAAATGTCCCAACTCGAGGCACGAAATCCTATCGTACATACAGACAGACACAGAGCATCAAGGTAAACAGCAGCAGAACATACACATTATGAACAATCAATGGATTTCAAGAATAAAAGCAAATATGGAACCTAGAAATTAAGCCATTTTTAAGTGCAAAATTGAAAGAGTAAGTTAAAAACCAACAATTGCAATATAGAAACGAAGAACCGCATTGTATAAACAGTAACATAATTGCAACAAAGATAAATAAGCCAAATAAAATTACTGAAAAATGGATGCACTTTAAATCTAATGGGGTCTTGACTGCGAGTTGTCAAGAATATATCAACCCTGTTTTTGTTTGCTATTCAAAAGGGAAACAAGTCACACCTATTTTAATGATTGTTTTTGGATAAACTTAAAAGGTAATATCTTCATAACAAATTTTTCACTTTCATTATATTATGTTAAGCACAGGAGCATGTTTCGATTTTTCTTTTTTTCAAATTTACCAAATTGACGTAGTCAAGGATAAAGCCAAAAATGTGCATAAAAATTATTTTTATTTTTTATGAGAAACATTATATTAAATATTAAACTTCTCATTTATTTTTTTCAATAATTTATTTGTTCGCCTTCGTCGATAGAATTGTTTAAATTTGAGCCACTAGCTTCGCCCGTTTCCGCCAGGCCACAAGCGCCGGCGTCAGATCCTTGTCGGTAATAGCGGGCATGCGGATGAGCGAGCTGTAGACTCCGATATCGGCCACCGACATCTGGGATCCGCCGAAGTACTGCTGTTGCTGCAGTCGTTTGTCCAGCAATCGCACCATTGCCACCTGCGTTTTGTGGGTGTTGCAGCGCAGCAGTTGGTAGCAAATATCCAGGACGAGATCGATCTCATTGCAAAGCGGGGAGCCCTCATATCGATATTCGGCGGGACCCACGCGACCCAAATACCGGATGATGTTCACCTCACCGTAAATAGGAACGTACATGGTGGGCGAGCTGATCATCTCGGTGTGTTCGCCTGTGAAGAAATCACAAAATTGTTGCATAATTAGCTTTCTTTATTAAATGTTTTTTTCGAAAATAGCTAGGATCAATATTTATTTTAATCTATTAAAAAATTGACTTAAGAAGTGATTATTTAGTTTGTATAGAACAAAGGATAAGTAGTAAGTTTTATGAATTATTTTGGTAATTAAAAATTACTTACAGTTTTTCCAGATGAGAGTGACACTAATCTTGGGCAGAGCTGGGTTGACTGGCACCTTAGCCAAGTTAGCCTCGAATTCTCGAGCTGCTGGTCCAATATCAGCCATCGTGGAGTGCGTGAAAGTCTTCACATCAATAGTGTACAGATCCCGCCAGGCATTTTTCAAGGCCAACAAGGCGTAAGGTATGAAATTGGGATGTCCATTGATGACTACATCCTGGAGGGGCACCTGATAAGTAATAAAATTAAAAAGGATGATTTTTAAATACATTTTTTAAGTGATTTAACATATAATAATTAATTCATTTCTAGAACTTCAAAAATAATTAACATTGCTAAAACTTTAAAGTTAAGGTCTCAGTTTCAATTTAGCTGACTATATCCTATAACTGTGATAGGAGTAGTCAAAGCAATTTGTATTTAAATGGAAATATGATTGTATAATAGGAAGTTAAGAATTCATAATTATATTCTACTTATAAATCTATTAAGGAATCCCTGGTTTGACTAATTTATGTTATGAAGGGTTTATATTTCAACCGGTGGAATCTAGCATCTACACTTTGCAAAATATACATACACATCTTAAATTAATAGTAAAAAAAACAGAAAAAAAAGGCAATTATTTTGCTACCCTGTGGTTCTTACCTCCTTTAAGCCACCATTCTGGAAGGCAGTCGTGTGCTGGATGGTCTTGCCACACACCCCAAGTCCCTTTCGGATCTGTCCCAGCTGCTCCTTGAGCTCCTCCAACTGCTTGAGAACCTTCTCCTGGCGCGCAGCCACCGATGCCGTGTCGTCCTGGAATTGGGTAACGAAAGAGGGATCTGTTTAGGGGACTGGCACTGTGATCCATTGGCCAAGGCAACAAGAACAGAGAGCAGGCAACACAAAACGGAGCGTGGATGCATTCTTTTTCTGGTTTTGTTTGGTTAGTCGGTGGTTTTATAAATAGAATTTCAAATATTTTAGTAGCTGTAGTTGTTTGGTGGTCTTAACCTTTAGCAGCTGCTGTATTTGTCGGCCTAAAAAATCCAAATCAAGGGCACATGTGGCTGCGTTTCGGCTTGTTTTGCTGCTTCTGCTGGCCTCCAATTTCTGGCAAGGATCACACATGCGGGAATGGAATGGATGGCGTTGTTGATATTCGTTGTTTTCCACTGTCCTTGCGACCCTGACCAATTTCTGGCTGGCCTGGGAGTTAACTTACGCATGATGATGTGGACGCGGATGCGGATGAGGGGGACGAACTGGCCAGGGAATCCGCCGCCAGGCTCACATTCTTCAGCGGATACATGCAGGTGGGTAGCTTGATGTCGAATTGCGGCAGAAGGGTCTTCAGTTCGTACATTTCCCCGGCGAAATCGTTGGAAAAACACAATAATTTATGGAAATTGCAAAATGTGCTTGCTAGAGATGGTCGATTTTCTTAGTTAGATATGAAACCTTGGTATCAGTATCAATTGTGTGTAATGTAAATATCTCGTTTGACCCATCTCTAAGTCTTGCAAAACAAAACTGTTCACAAACAAACGATGATTATCGAACTCATTATAAAACTGTTCCCATATTTAAATGATTTTTAACAGTTTTTTTTAAAATAAATTTTAAATAATTTATTATTACTATTTAATGTTCCCGACCACCAGTTTGGTTTTAGGCATCCTCATGGGATACCAGAACAAGCACATAGAGTCGTTCAACACATTTTAAATGCTTTTGAAAATGCGTTTGGCACGCTGGATTACTCCATAAGTTGAAGTCCCTGCTCCCGACCGGCCAATTCCTCTTACTAAAATCATAGTTGCTTGATCGAAGTTTTATGGTTGAGGTAAGAGGGGAAAGGTCAAACATTAAAACTGCTCGAGCTGGCGTTCCACAGGGAAGCGTCCAGGGTCCCATTATGTACACTCTGTACACTTCGGATCTGCCATGTCCTACACAACCAGGCACACCTTTGGGCACCTACGCTGACGACACTGCCTTTCTTGTGAACTCCTCCTGCCGAGTCGAGGCATCAAGGATCACCCACAGGTGGAATATTGCTATCAATGGAAGAAAGTCGCAACATTGGGCTGCGCAGGATTGCAAATGCGCCCTGGTACATCAGGAACGACGCCCTTGGAAATGACCTCCACATTCCTTCTGTCAGGGAACAGATAAACCGCCACTCGAGTGGGTACAACGATCGACTCGCTGTCCACACCAACCACCTAGCAGCTTCCCTGGCCAACCCGACGTGTAGACGAAGACTGAAGCGAAGACACCCCGCCGATCTCTGGACAAGAGGATGACTCAAGTCCATTAACCATTTACTGTTAATTTGTTATAAAATTTGTTTTCACGTTATTTGTTCTTTATTATTCCCAACGTATTATAACCATTTAGTTGGTTGATCGACGTTAATTAAATCTATTTGTTAAACCAAAAAAAAAAAAAACTATTTAATGTGACTAGCTCATACATGTAAGTTGTAAAAATAGAATCTAAAAGAAACTACACATAACAATTAATATTTTTCATCTTTTGATTGAGTTTTACTGATTCATAAGCTTAAAATCAACATCTTTTGAATACACTTAATCGGACGAAATTGAACAATTTTTAGTTGTTATTAAACCTTGAATGTTAAATGTATTTTTAGCTAATTTTAGACACATTCCATTTAGTATACCAAAACGAATTTTAAAAATTTTGCAATAATATTAGAAATTATATTCCATAATAACAACAATGGGTTTAAAGACTCAACATTTGATTTCCAATCTAAAGCTACGATTATAATATTATCAACAGCTTTATTTTGCTGCAGTCTTCGCTGTGGACTCTCTTTGTTTTTTACTCTTTATTTTACTTTTATTTCTTTTGAAAGAAGTATAAAAGTATAAGAAAGGAGCAACACCACGTCACACAATTTTATGCTTTATGCTAATAAACTTTATAATGTTATACATAGCATTACAGAAAAAATCGTACAAATAATTAAATGGCTCTTTAAAAATAAATTTTACCACTAATATATCTATATTTTCATTCAGGTTTTTTTTAATCCGCATTAAAAATACGATTTCTTCTCTTAAATATTCTCTTTGAACTCTTTGAGAACCAGACTTAGGAATTTATAAATTTTGTGTTTATTTCGGTGATAAGCCAGTGCTTTTCGGACCGCCGGCATCGTCGCTTGTGAAATTTCTTTCGCCGAAACTATTTATTTTATTTGTAACATTTAAGTTTTATTGGTTTAATAAAGTTATTTTGAAATACTTTTTAATTAATAGACCAAAACTTGTGAATTAAAACTAAAAAAAACAATTTAATTTTGTGAAGATGGGCAAACAAAACAGTGAGTCATTTGGAATACATAATTATTAAGTGCGCTTATTAATTTTGACCCACCATCCCAGAATATAAACCAAAGGAGGAGAAGCCCGAGGATCCTGTTACACTACAAAGCAAGTACAAGTGACTAACTAAAACTTTAGTTGGTAAAAGAAAATTTCGGAAGCTTCGTGGCGAATACGACGAATTAATTCCGGTCTGTGACTAATCGGCGGGGTTCAGTTGAGGGGAAATGGAAGTAAATTATTAGTATTAGTTTATTTATTGACAACATATTTATACTAAGCCACTCAACAGTTGTTATCAGCTACTTATGGTTCTACATACATATGTGGTCATCTAAGATCCATCACATATTTTGATCAGCAGTCTTAGCTGTTTATCAACTAAATTTCAATATAAAAACTGTTAAAAAAATGATTTAGTTATTGATCTTAAAGTCAGTCAACGATTATAGATTATCATCGAAAGCTAGGAATGTGTAGCTTTGGGGACCATTTTTAGGTTGTTTGGTTAAGTGGAAATATAATAAAAAATGTTTGTGCTTATCAGCGGCTAGCGCCGACAAATTGGAATTAAGAAATAAATGCTCATATGGGGTTTGGATATTCCCAAATGAAAAGTGTATTACACTGTAAAAAATTGTTATACTTAATAGTTTTTCTAGTTTATTTAAATGACCGAACTTGTTAGTCCAATAGTTTTTTTTTTAAATCGAAAGAAATAAAAAAAAATGATATAGATTAGTGACCAATCAAGTTTGAAGGTATTGTAATAATTTTAATCAGTGTATAGTAAGTGAATTTATTTAGAAAGGAAATGTGAATACAATTATTATTTGAATAAGTAAGGAAGGACGAATATAATTTAAGATCACCATTTTCAAGTCTGTGTAACTTTTAAAGGAGGATATAGGTGGCTGATTGAAAAGGTTTCTGCCTTAAACTCGTACACTACTGGTGATAAACTGTTGATCCCATTCTTAAAGGTGTGGCCAATCCATCCACCAGCTCCGGAACACGGTCACCTGCGCCTTCGTCTTCTGGTGGAATCAGCACCAAGCGAGGAACCATCGGGACAAGCGGCACTGTGGCCATTAATTACCTAAATGTTGACATGACGAAAATGCCAGCGAAGGCCTATCACTATGATGTGAAGATCCTACCGGACAGGCCCAAGAAGTTCTTTAGAATGGCATTCGAACAGTTTCGCGTAGATCAATTGGGCGGTGCAATCGCCGCCTTTGATGGCAGAGCATCCTGCTATTCGGCGGATAAGCTGAACACGAAGTCCAAGGACCCGGAAGTCACTGTAAGTTGGGAGTACTGAATTTTGTACATTGTTAGGTGAAATGTAAGATACATAACTATATAATAGATATTAAGATGTTTGTTCTCTTGAAGGAGACGAACTCGTATTTATAAATCCACTTTTATTTAACCAAAAATATGAATAAGTAGAAATTGGATTTAAAATATGTATGCAGATTTTAAATCGGAATCTAAATATCGATGTCGGCTGTGGGGGTTACGACCCTCTTGTTTTAGAACCGCGGTCTTAAGTTCGTGAATCAGCAGTTAAAGGTTTAAAAATGAATAAATACTTTATTACGGAAACTTTATTTATCTATTTACTTTAAAACCCTGATTATGCTCTGTGATTCAATGAATTCCAGGTGACAGATCGTCAAGGGCGAACTTTGCACTACACGGTGGAAATCAAGGAGACCGGCGACTTGGAAGTGGATCTGAATTCGCTGAAGAGGTAAAAGACTATGAAATGAAATTAAAAATGTATAAACTCGAATCCCTATTTTGCAGCTATATGACCACGAGGATATTCGACAAGCCCATGCGGGCGATGCAATGTCTGGAGGTGGTGATGGCGGCTCCTTGCCACAAAAAGGCCGTTCGTGCCGGTCGCTCCTTTTTCAAAACTTCCGATCCTGGCGGGCGGCAGGAATTGGACGGTGGATACGAGGCCCTCGTCGGTCTGTATCAGTCCTTGGTACTTGGTGATCGCCCATTTGTAAATGTCGACATATCGCACAAGTCATTTCCGATTGCCATGCCTGTGATCGAATACCTTAGAAGATTTGGCTTGAAACAGGAAATCAACAGCACCACTACTTTGGAAAAGTCCAGGCATTTCGTCGAATCGTTCCTCAAAGGCCTCTATGTGATTTACACACCACCCAAGTCCTTCGCCGCCGCTTCGCGAGTCTACAAAATTAATGCACTGTCGATTAAGCCAGGAAGCACCCAGGAATTTGATCTGGAGGACAAGATGATCACAGTGGCGGAATATTATAAGAATCGCAACTATAAGTTGCAATTCCCCCAGCTTCCGTGTCTGCACGTTGGACCTGTGACGAAACAAATATTTGTGCCAATCGAGCTTTGTCAAATCGAGGGCGGTCAGCCATTAAATGTAAGCCGAATTTTTCGCCAAGATCTTTACCCATATTTTTGACTAAAAAATATCTAAAATCTTACATCTAAATCAGAAAGCAATTTTTATAGTTAACAGTATTATTTCCATAGTTATTTATTTTTTTTAATTTATAAAATATTTTAAAAATACAAAATCTAAATTAATTAATGTAAATGAGCACTTATCTAGAACATGCTCTACAGAATCTTAGAATTATGGTATCTTCACAATATTTTTTGATAACCAAAGACCACAGTTTTGTATTAAATGTAGAAGAATAGAAGCTCTAATAACGGAAATTTTATAATGCTTTCCCCATACATTTCGGTTTGGTTTATTGGCCATTTGACTTCCATGTTACAAATCCCCTTTTTAGACCACTTGTATCCTTTTGTTAACGCTTTAATTGTAATATTTAAGAACTACTTTTTGTGTACTTCTTTTTGGCTTCTGACAGCGGAAGGATGGAGCCACTCAGGTGGCCAGTATGATCAAGTTTGCCGCCACATCGACGAACGTGCGAAAGGACAAGATCATGCACCTGTTGAAGTTCTTTGAGCACAATAATGACCCGACCATCAGCCGATTTGGCATCAAGATCGCTGCCGATTTCATGATGGTCAGCACCCGCACCCTCGACGCTCCGAGAGTGGAGTACCATGGCAAGAAATGGTGCGCGGTGAGGAACGGATCGTGGCGCATGGACAACATGAATTTCCTGGAGTCCAAGCCCAAGTCCCACAAGTGGGCGATTCTGTACTTTGATCCTGCCACCGGTCGCAAGATGCATTACAACCAGGTCAGCGACTTCGAGCGACAGGTGTTCAACCAGAGCAAATGGGTGAACATCAACTTGGACGCCAAGGCGGAAATAAGGTCCTTCAAGGACTACCGCGGCCTGGACGAATGCTTCGTGGACCTGAAGCGAAAGCAGTGCGATCTGGCGATCGTGATCATTCCGCAGACTGGGGTCTCCTACGACATCATCAAGCAGAAGGCCGAGCTGCATCACGGCATTCTGACGCAGTGCATCAAGCAGTACACTCTGGAGCGAAAGCTCACACCCAATACCATTGCCAACGTACTACTAAAGGTTAACTCTAAGCTAAATGGCATTAACCACAAGCTCGAGGAAAATTCCCTGTTGAAATCGCTTAAGAACGCCATGTACCTGGGCGCCGATGTGACCCATCCGTCGCCCGATCAGCGCGAGATCCCCAGTGTGGTGGGCGTGGCAGCCTCCCACGATCCCTACGGAGCCTCCTACAACATGCAATATCGCCTGCAGCGATCGGCTCTGGAGGAGATCGAGGACATGGAGTCTATTACGATGGAGCACCTGCGTGTATACAAGCAGTACAGGAAGACCTATCCGGAGCACATTCTCTATTACCGAGACGGTGTGAGCGACGGACAGTTTCCAAAAATCAAGAACGAGGAGCTGAAGGGTATTAATGTAGCCTGTTCTAAGGTGAGTTTCGATTTCGAAAGATATTTAATAGCCCTGTTTCCGACCTCAATATGATTTTATAATGAAACAAAATTGTATGTGACTGTTTTTTTATTTATCAAAATATTCCTTTGAGAATTGCCCTTTTAGTTTTGTCAATAAGTGCAAGGTTTCATAGAGTTCGGCTTGATGAAAAAAATTTCAAAAGTGGTTATATAGCTATAAATTAAATTAATGTAGAAAAGGATTAAGACAACCCGACTAATGTTCCGCGAAATGCTAAATTTTTCTAGTAACAAATAAACAATTTTTAAGCATGACGAAAACTGAGACCTTTTTAAATGCTAAATAAATGAAACAAGATAAGATTACATATAATTTAAAATATAACCATGTTTAATTTTCTTGCATCTATTGTTTGTTAATTTCAGTTAGGTATTAATCCCAAGATTTGCTGCGTGATTGTTGTAAAGCGTCACCACACGCGCTTCTTTCCGAACGGCGACCCATCGCAGTACAACAAGTTCAACAACGTGGACCCAGGAACCGTGGTCGATCGCACCATCGTGCATCCCAACGAGATGCAGTTCTTCATGGTCAGCCACCAGTCCATCCAGGGCACGGCCAAGCCGACGCGTTACAATGTAATTGAGAACACAGGCAATCTGGACATCGACCTGCTGCAGCAGTTGACCTACAACCTGTGCCACATGTTCCCCCGTTGCAATCGATCGGTTTCGTATCCGGCTCCGGCCTACTTGGCCCATTTGGTGGCAGCACGCGGTCGCGTTTATCTCACAGGGTAAGTCTGACTTTTGTATATTATTCTGTCATTAAACCTCTTTTGTATGTCACAGCTCCACTAGATTCATGGATCTGAAGAAGGAATACGAGAAGCGCAAGATTGTACCCGAATTCATGAAGACAAACCCAATGTACTTTGTCTAAGCTACTTCACTCTATATTGCTTTATAACCTATAAGTTAAAACTCCTCAAAGTGCCAGCTTAAAACAACATACTCATTCCCGAATTCTCAAAACTCCCTTATTATAAAAACAAAACCAATAAAAATAAAAACAAATAAGGCTAATTAAAAGTTTAGGGATACGGAAATTATTTAGCAAAGATATGAAAACTAAAACAATAAGAATTAAATTTAGAAAAGATCTTGTCCGTCGATAGAGCACCTTAACATGCCACTTTGCGTTTGTTTTAATTTGATTTCAGTTTATTTGTATATCTATTTCTAGTTCTTAGCTATCTTCGCCTTGGAGGGCACTTTCGGGATGCGTTTTATCCTGCTGTCAACAATGTGACGCAGACGCCTGTCCGGCTTGACCAGCTCGCTCTCCGTCATGGGCGCGATGACCTGGCCCTTGCGCGTGATGACCGCCGGTCGGGTCAGCATACGGAAGGCTGTCTCCGGTACAAAGTTCCTCCCGATTGGCGCACGGATGCTGGCCTCGTAGTCTGCCAAGGATCGGAAAGGAAACGGGATGCTAGAGACCATATGCTCGCGTGCCAGCTTGCTGGCCGACTCGTTTAGGTAGAGGTTATCCTTGTTGTCGTCACGTCGCTTTTCCGGGGCAGCCAGCTTGAGAAGGAGCCGCTTGTTACGACGCTCCATCACCGCCTGGGAAATTCCAGCGCCCGCCCAGGAACCCCATCCTGGCAGAGCTAGCTGCAGCTCTGTGTTCTTCAGCTCAGAGTCCTTGGTTTTGTCGCGATTAAAGTCAGCAATAATGTCATCGTCCTCGAAGGCCTGACTAATGGTCAACTGGCGCTCGGCTGCCGCATCTGCTTCATCGTACTCTGCTGCCTCATCGTCTATCAAAGCATCATTAATGCCACTAGAGCTCGACTTCTTTTGGGTAAACACTAAAGTTGTCACCTTGTTGGGATCGATGGTGTCCACAGGCGGGCTCTTTGTAGTTTCTGCACTACTTTCCAATTGAGCTGGAATTTTCTTCTGCGGCTCCTGTTCCTTTTCGTAATTTAAGGGCTCATCGATTTCTATCTGTTGTTTTGTCTTTTTCAAAGCCAGACTTTTGAGGTTCTTTAAGGCGTCCTTCTTTTTCGTCTTCTTTCCTTTGACGGGGGCATCTTTTAGTTTGTCTACACGTTGCTTTAGTTTCTCCAACTTCTTGCTTAGCTTGGCTCGCAGTTGGTCCTCGTGTTTCTCAAAAATATCATCTATTGAGCCCGTTTTTGAATCTCCGTTGAGTTTTATTTGTTCAACCTCTTCAACTTGCCAACCATTTTCTATTTTAACCTTTGATTTCTTAAGGCTTTTCTTGGCATTTTCTATTTTAACCTTTGATTTCTTAAGAATTTTCTTGTTAGGCTTCGCTTTGGCGGATGGTTTTTTGGAAGCGTTATCCTCCGCTTCCTGTTCTTCTTCCTCCTCCTGCTCCTGCTCTTTCGTGTCCTGTTCTTCCTCCCGCTCTTCCATGTCCCTACGATGCTTCTCTAATAACTTTTCGTTTCTATTCCGTTTTGTCCAATATTGCCGCCAATTGGAGTCCTCAGTTTCGGCCTTGCCGTTTTCAGCATTCTCGACCGTTTTTCGCTTTGTCCAAGGATTTAAAGGATCGTAGTCGATCTCCTCCTCCTCAGGAGCTACTCTCTTCTTGCTGGTTTCCTCATCTTCGCTGTCGGATTCTTGTTTTTTCTGGGTTAACTCCCTGCTAACAGCCAATTGCTCGGCCAGATCCTTTCGCACATCCTTATCGTATTTGGCCCGTACCTGCAGATTCTTTGCCCAGGTTCCAGTGTTCTTGTGCCTCAAACTGGCGCGCTCTTTCACCCGACTTTTTTCCAGCTCATTCAGTTTCTCCAGCGCAGCCTCCGGGTTTGTCTTTTGAAGCAACTCGAACTCCTTCATCTGCTCCAAGATCTTTTGACGCTTCTGCAGCTTGTGGAACTTCTTGGATTTGATTTTATTCTGCATGCGTGCCTTCGCAGATTTTTGGGACTCGCGCATCTTCAAGTAGGCGAGCTCCTTGCGACGGGCGAAAAGCTCATCCCGCGTGAGCTTTTTCTGAAGTAGCTGGCGCTCCTGTTTGGCCAGCTCCTTCTCATCCGTAGTGTCGCCAATTTGGGCTTTGCGCAGCTCACGAAGTTTAATATTGCTGGCCTCGAGTTCCTTAGCAAGGTCGGATTTAATTCGCGTGTTAAGGGGACGAGCCTTCGCTGAGGTGTTCACATAAATCGTCTCAGACGGTAAGGGAAAGATCTGGACAGAGATTTCGGGATTAGATATCCTGCAGAGATACCAAAAGGAAATGATTTGGACTCACCTGCGTTTCCGCCGATCGCTGTTGGGCCACCACAGCATCCCAGCGACCCAGCTTTTTGGTCACTCCCTCGTATCCAATGGTCCGCCTGATGCGATCCGCTGCCGGTTTCTCGAGCGGCTTCGCCAGCACCTTCCTGCTGCCCTGGACGTTCTTCAGCTTTTTACCCGCATCCTTGTGCTTGGAGGAGGTGCGTAGAATCTCCACCAGATCATTGAGACCCACCGACCTTGGTGCACGCTCTGTTTCCGCGGATGACACGCTTTTCATCAGCTGGAATTCATCCTGGCGCGACTGGAGCTCATCACGGGTAGACTTCTGGATGTGCTGAACCTTGCCCAGATTGCCAATGGCCTGGAGCAGCTTCTTGTGCGCCCTCGGTTCGTAGTGCTCCTCGTCGTCACTCATTATTAGTACGGTACGGTATGGAAATTATCCCAAATAAAATAACAATAACGATTTCACAGCGCACGTGTACAGGCCAACAGCTGATTTGATATCGATAGCAAAATAGCTCCATCGATAAACACAGTGGGACATGGGTGTGCATAACTGATAGGTTATTTTGTTATTATTTTGTCTGCCAAAGAGAATTTTTGGTTTATCATAGAAATTAATGGGTATACCTTTTTATATTGTTCATTAGGTAATCTTTAATATAGGGAAACAATGTAAAAAAATAAATATTTAAATAAAATAAACCCTTTTTCTACGCCCCTGAACGCTACAATCGATTATGGCCCGACGACAAGCCGGCTATCGATGCCACTGTGATTTCTTTTGTTTACCATTTAGACTTTGTTTTCGACATGGCCGACACGAAATCGGGGCCCGGTCGGTATTCCGCCGCCGGGGGCAGTGGGACCGGGACCAGTGGCCTTTCGCCCTTGGTCCAGGGACCGGCGAACCTGGAATGCAAGGATTTCCAGGAGTATCTGCGCACCCGCCAAACGCCGGAGTCGCTGGACAAACTCTACAACTACCCGCCCATTTGCTTGGCCGTGTTCCGGGAGCTGCCTGAGATAGCAAGGCAGTTTATTATACGGATACTTTTTGTGGATCAACCGGTGCCACAAGCAGTTGTTTCATCATGGGGTGCCCAACGTTGTGCCAAGTGAGATTACCACTTGTTACTTTTATTAACCCTTTATAATTTATACATCCCACAGGGAGCAAACGGAGGCCACTAGCTGCCTGACGGCGTTGAATGTCTGGCGGGTAACAGCTATTCCTGGAGGTCTTTCAGCCTGGGAACTTTCGCCCACCTTCAAGAAGAGTGTACGCCAGGTGCTGCTGGGCGGGGGAAAGCCGTGGCCCATGACCAACACGCTGGAGAAGGACTCGAAGCCCAGGGACATCGCCTTCCTGGACACATACGCCATGTCCCGATGGTGCTGCGTGCTGCACTACATGGTTGGCACCGGGAATCGCAATGGCACCGATGCGGAAGCGATAAGTCCGGATGCCGTGAGGATTCTGCTCCATGCCAATCTCATGAAGCGGGATGAACGCGATGGCATCACCATAACCCGTCAGGGTTTTCAGTTTCTGCTGCTAGACACACGGGCTCAGGTGTGGCACTTTATGCTTCAGTACCTGGACACGTGCGAGGAGCGAGGGATCAGCCTGCCCGAGTGCCTGTCTATGCTATTTCAGCTCAGTTTCTCCACGCTGGGCAGGGATTACAGCTCGGAGGGAATGAATAACCAGATGCTGACCTTCCTGCAGCATCTGAGGGAGTTTGGATTGGTCTTCCAGCGAAAGCGCAAGGAGGGCCGCTTTTATCCCACCCGTTTGGCTCTGAATGTGACCAGCAAGGAGGCTGCGGCGACTGCCTCCGTGGCCACGGATGAAGAGGGGACCCAAGACAGTGGCTACATCGTGGTGGAAACAAACTACCGGGTGTATGCCTACACGGACTCGCCGCTCCAGGTGGCCGTGCTGGGTCTGTTCACGGAGCTGCTCTACCGCTTTCCCAATCTCGTCGTGGGCGTCCTCACCCGAGATTCAGTGCGTCAGGCGCTGCGGGGCGGAATTACGGCCGAGCAGATTGTATCGTACCTGGAACAGTATGCACATCCCAACATGCGGTTGGTGGAGTCGGCCATTCAGTCAAAATCCTGCCTGCCGCCTACAGTCGTTGACCAAATTAAACTGTGGGAACTTGAGCGAAATCGCTTCACCTACACGGAAGGCGTGGTATACAATCAGTTCCTCTCCCAGACCGATTTCGTAACGCTCAGGGACTACGCTCAGTCAATCCACATGCTGGTGTGGCAAAACGAACGAACTCGCACCATGGTGGTGCAAAAGAATGGCCACGATGATGTCAAGCGATACTGGAAGAAGTACTCTAAGAGTGGTGTTTAACCCGGTATTTCTTCCCTTCCTACAGATTGGAGTTCAACTAAGGGTCCGTCTCTATTTCGATTCTAAGCTAAATGTTTAATATATAGTTTAATAAGTGAGTGGGAGATATAGCATCGACATATAACATACAAGAAAATGAATACAATTAAAGTACATAGGTATCATATACAAGAAATAATTACACGAAACCACTTTAAAGCTTGACCTTAGATCGAAATTTTAGGGTGGGTGGACTTGTGAGAATGCCAAACAAAGAACTGGAACATTTTGAAAGTATATGCAATTCAAACCTGTCCTGAATTCTTAAGGTCTGATAAAAATAAATGAATATGCGTTTGCCTATTTAAAATATAAACAATATCTGGTTTGTTTTGAATTGGAAGAACATAAAGACCTTATAGAGAAAACTACATAAAAAATGGAACAAATCTTATTAATATACCTGTTTTCGTCTGTTATTAAATAATCCAATTTTCTATTAGACCTCAAGGCATAAAGAAAAAACAAATCGACCCACCCTAGCCTATCAGAACTTAATACAAAATCGGCCGCTGGGGCATGCAAAGGTTGTAGTAGCTGCCTTTGGTCCAGAAATCCATACCCTTCCAACCGCACCACCCCTTGATCTGGATGGTGGCCAGATCATCGGCACCTGTGTAATGAGGATCCAAGATGAGGAACTTCACCTGACCCGTCTGCACACAGTAGTCCACTCCTATGATAGTGTGGGCCAGCACACCGCCGCCAATCATCACCGGCGTACCTTGCGTCTGGAAGTGCATGGCCAGCTCGGAGGCAACGGTGGCCAACTCGGCTCCAGAGGCAACGTGCTGGATCTTCGAGTCTACATTGAGGAATCCCTGCAGGCACATGCTGATCTCCGTGGAGCCAATCCACTGCGAGGATCCAACGAAAGCAGCCGGCTTGTCGTTTATCTTGTGAAGGTACTCCTGTACCTCCAGATGTGTGGGAATCGGAGCGTTCGTGTATCCCTGCAGCACAAACCAGGAGCAGATCGTCTGCAGCGAGCGGTAGGCACAGCCCCAACCCTTATCCTGCACCTGCTGCTGCAGGTAGTGGTAGTAATGGTAGTTTCCGTTCACTAAGTACTCCTTGCCGTCGGTTACTCCACTGGGACGGACTCCGATGTGGGTGTTCATCAGTGGAGTCCACGGGGCATCCTCCGTTTCGGCCAGGAAACGCACATGGTTGGCTCTGCGGAAGTAGGGACGACTGACGGGTAAAGCAAACTGGCGATGGAGTCGCTTTCGTCTCTCCAGCATGCTGGGCTCATCGTCGCCCAAATCCTCCAGATATGCACAACTAACAAAATGTCCGAACTCCTGGGGATAGAAGTGGTAGCTGGCCGGCACCAGCAGCTTGCCAGTCTCCGATTCCGTGAGGTGCTCAATTAGGCTCAACTCGAATAATCTAAGAGCTCGGCAGATGCTCTCGATAAGTACATCATACAACCGCTGGAGCTTGGTCTTCCGGCAGAGAATGGCCATGGCTTCGATCTCCAATGGAACCTGGACTCGGATCAGCTCGTCGGTGGTCACGGCAATGCTGAGTGCAGGATGAGGCGGTGAGTCGCGGGCCACGGGATCCCGGGTACGTGATCGCATCACATCGATGGGGATCACCTCGTAGTCGCAGCCAGTGGGCGCCAAGCGCTTGACTGGCGCACTCTGGGCCTTGGTCTTTTTCTTGTCGCCACCGGACGTATCCTTTTCAATTCCCGGGCTGGGAATGACATCTATAAGATCCTGTATCTGGGACTCACAGGTAAACCGCTTGTCCAGCGGCCCGCAGCTGTTGATGAAGATCTTCGTCTGCGGAACATTGAACACCAGATTGCCATCGGCCACGCGCTTGCGCAGCACGTGCATTTCACGGGCCACGGACTCCGGAGTGGCGGATGTTTGCAGGAAGAATCCGCACTGCAGCCGGGTGAAGCAGAAGTCGTTGTACAGCTGATCCGCCTCCATCACCTCGTAGGGCACCTCTTCCAGCTTTCCGTGTACGAAGAACGAAGCTCTCAGGCCCACCAAAGTGCCCAGTTCGCATTGCAGCAGGATGGGATTGTCGGTGATGTCTACCGATTTGATGACCTCATTAAGGTGCGCCTCGCCATCGGTGCAGTCACCGAACTTGACCAGTCCGCATAAATCCAGTTCCGCCGGGAATCTGTGCTGGATCTGTTCATAGTTCAGCTGTCCCAAACTGGACTCAATGTTAAAACTCAGAAGGAGTAGGGTTCCCTCCCCGTAGAAAACTCCATATAAACAACCACTGCACTGCTGCTTCGTTCGCTCCAGGCGCTGCAATCGGAAGCTCCTGATTACTAAATTTTATTAATTATACTAGCTAAGGTCTCACCTTGAGCAGGAATGCAGAAATCTTTAATTTTGGCAGCATATTTGCGTTAAATGTATTAATGAAAATGAAGTAATTCGGCCACAACCGCAAATTGCACAGCTGGCAAATATCTATCGATAACAGCGTCTTTGTGGTCTCAGATCAATCGACATTGGCTTAGAAAAGGGGGTTATTATTAAAAAAATGTATGTGTATAATTAAACTGTCTTAAAATAACTACAACTTTTTAAATATTTTATAAGTACTTAAAATATTTGTTTAGAGATGAGAAAGCCAACTTTTCTTTTAAATACATTTGGATAAATTAAAACTTTTAATAAAATTGTAAAGAAATCCCTCAAATCTGAAGTTTTCACAAAAATTATATAAATTAATAAGACCAAAATTTTAAAAGAAAAAGGTTAAGCTCGAGAAAATTAAATTAATTAACAAATGACTTTGACAGCCTTCATTGAATAAATGAATTTAATAGACATTCTAAAATTAAGTCATTTCCTAATATAAATATGTATGAACCAATATGCGAATTCTTTTTTTCCAAAAGCAAGTGTAATATCCCACAAATATTAAAAAGTCGTTGTTAATACACACACATATAACATTTATTTAATATAGATTTTATATTGAAATCGGCATAGTGTATAGATTCGCAAAAATGTTTTGAACGCAGCCCTCAAGCGCGTGTTTCGCTCCATATGACTCTCCTTACGACTCATCATCCGAAGTCTACAATTCATTAATTCTATCAATGTTTCACATTTATATACAGTACATAATTGCGTGGTGCCTCTTAGATTTGCTTTAACTGGAATATCGTGCTTTTTCTCGATTTGCTTTCGTGCCTAGTAATTTACATTAAGAGTTTTCAAGCGGTTTTCTTTTAATTTTCCTTTAGTTAGGACATCTACAAACTACTAGGTTTCAGAATTTTCTAATTAATTTCATTGCTAAATTGTTATAATTTGCGCAAAAAACACAAGCTTACTTCGAAAAAAGTTTAAAACGCCATCCCTCGCTATAAATATATTTCGAATTCCTGCGGTTTCCATTTCCTGCCATCCAACCTCGCCCTTCCTAATCAAAGATAGTAGTTTAAACGCGAAATTTAAAACACAAGCATCCATATCCACCGCGGCTTCTCTGACGCTACTTTCTCTGCTTGGCAGCAGAAGTGGCTGGAGTTGCTCCTGTTGCAGTGCTTCCTGCCGCTGTCGTAGCCGCCGAGTCCTTACGTGGTCCTGTCGAAATAGTCACGCTCGGACTGGCCGGCTTTGTCGTTGTCATCGAAGTTTTACAGCCACTGTTCTGGGGCTTGGTTTTGGGTGCTGCTTGGGATGTGCTTTTACCTGGAAAGCAAAAGGATGTTTATTTGAATTACTAAAAAACTTGAGACCAATCCAACCCGTAAAAATAATATTATTCATTAAATGTTGTTCTAAAATCTAGATTTATATTTTAAATTTTTCCAAATCTATAAAATGTATAAGTAATTGGTAAACTCTTCATTAAACATAATCTAGAAAGTTTAGTATTGCTTTAACGGAATATCAAATATTTGTTAATGAAATATGGATATTCTTTAAAATCCTAGTACTCAATTGATTATTTATTAAGTAAACAAATGTACAAGAGGGAGTTTAGCTTACTGTCATTACTATTATTAGACGAACAAATTAATTTAATTTAACTTGTGTGTACATACATTAAATAGTTGAATTCATATTTGTGTATAATTAACTCACCCTGATCGACCTTCTTAGTCTTGCCAGCAGGCTCCATCTCTGGTTGCTCGGTGGCCTTTACCTTCGTCGGCTTCTCCAGGGTTTGAGTGGGCGAAGATGAGGACTCCCCCTCGGCGTACTCCTCGATGGCGGGCATGAATCCCTCGGATACACTGCTGCTGTCCTGGGTGCTGGTGGGCGAATCTTTCTCTTCGGCAATGCGCGGCAGAGGCTCACAATTGGCCATGGTAACCACAGCACTCGGCTCTGTTCCTGCAACGGTTGTGGGAACCACTGCTGCCCCAGCAGCTAGTCTTTGAGATTCCTCAGAGGCAGCAGTCGCCAAATGCTGAGGCTGAGCTGCAGGGGCACCTGAAACTGTTCCTCCAGCTCCTGCCGAATTGCCAGTCGTCGACCTCCAGGTGGTGGTCACCACTCGCTGATGCGTCGGCTGTTTAATGGGCGGCGAGCAGCAAAGTGGCGATATCTTCGTTTCAGCACTACGGGGATGTAAGCGATCCGGGGACAAAGCGCGCCTAAGCAATGGAGAACTGGGTTCCGCCGACTTGGTTCTGGCAAATCCTGCCTTCTTACTGTTTGCATTCACCGCTGGCTGCAAGGTGGGCAGAGTGCTCCCTGGACTGTAAGATTGCGTGGTGTTCGAGGCTCCTGGCTGATGGCCAACCAGTGGAAAGGCCAATGGGGAAGGAGATCGTGTGGGCGACGATGGCAGCGGTGATGGTGAAGGAGTCCGCGCCAACGGTGACAGTGGAATATGACCCACCGACTTCCGGCGATTCGGCAGCGAATTGTTGCTCGTGGTGTGGAGGGTCTTTAGTCCTCCGGCGGGATTATTGGCATTCCCACCGCTCGCTATTACGGCGGTGGCCGCGTGCAGCTTGTGCTTGAGACCATGTAGAGTGGATGGACGCTGATACAGCTGCGGAACGACGCCAGTGGGGGACACTATACACATTGAAGGGGAAATATTTAACAATCGTTTAATGCATACTATTTTTCGATCCCCTTACCTGGCACATTTCCTGCAGAGGTGGGACTGCTGCCAACGACGGCTCCCACGTGGGGCAGGAGCACTAACTGCGTGGGTGGCGGGGGAGCGGGCAATTGCACACTGAGGGCCGAGGGAGCAACTGTCCGCTCCAGTCCTGCGTTGCCCCCATGATTGGAGCCACTCGAACCGGTGGGAGTGTTGGGCGATGAAGATGAGGGCGAGGTGGATTGCGATGAGGAGTTGGCAGCCGACTGACAACAGCTGCTGCTGTGGTACGAAGAATCCAACGGCGACAAATTCCTGGCCGATGGTGTGGTGGGTGAACTTGTGCCAGCAGAATACTAAAATCCAGTCAATAAAGTAAAGTAAAGTTTAGATGCTGAGCCCTAAAGCCATTGGCCAAATGTGTTTTACCTGCTGCATCTCCGCATTTGCACGCTTGCTGCTAATCCGACGAAACAGTGAGGTTTTGCGCTTCTTGTCGTGCTCCCGCTTTGTCTGCTTCTTCTGGCGATTCAGACCCTTCTTAGCCAGCTTGCTTTGCATGAGATCGCGCTTGCGGCCGCCGCTCTGAATGCTGGTGTGCTCGAGAGGCGTGGCCCGTAATGTAACGTGCTCGCCGCCGCTTAGGAGCAGCTGCAGCACCTGGGTATGGAATAAGCCCTGCACCGCTTCTCCATTAACATGGGTAATGAGATCCCCTGGCCGCAGTCCAGCCTCAAAAGCCGGGCTTCCCTCGTCCACGGCCATAACCAAGTGATGCATCGTATAGAAGTCCGTGTCGCCGTAGTACACCCGGATGGTATGGACAGTAAAGCCAAATCCACGCGGTCCACGTCGAATGATGATAGGTGGCTTCAGATTCGTAACCAATGGCGAGAGCTCCCGGCAAGGCGAGGTGTCCCTGGAGCTGGCCGTGCTGGAGCCATTGCCTCCACCGCCCGGAGATTGAATGCCGCCTAATTGAGCGGCCAATTGACTGTTGTCTAGCGACGTCATCAACGACAAACCTAAGGCCGATGCGGACTTAACAATCGACCTGGAACGGTGATGCTTCATGCTGCTGCCACTGCTGCTTCCGTCCATGGACTTTGGTTGATGTTGCAACGCAAGCGGGGATTGTTCCCTTGGCAAGTTCATGTTCTCCGTGGAGGAGCTGCCCGCGGAAATGGTTTCATCCTCTATCGAGATGGAAAAACGCGGCAAAATGTCCCTGGCGCAGACGCCCTTCCGTTTCCGGTTGATCTGTGGCGAGAAGTCATCACTGTCCGTTTGCGAACTCTCTGGCGTGCTGCGCGAGAAGCTGCCCACCGTGGCCGTTGTCGGAGTGGCCGCCATTGCCGCCTGAGTTTGAGTTGGAGGCGGTGTTGCCGGCGTGCTGATAATGGTCGTCGTATTGGGCGGCATACTATGGCGCTGCTGCATGCGCTGCGTGGCTCCAGGATTGGGTTGCCTCAGGTAGTGCTTCAGCATGCGCAGCTCCGCATCGTTTCCAATCGTGACGTTGTACAGCAATTCGGGCAAGTAGTCGGCATCCGGGGTGGACGGCACCTTCAGACAGCTGGACGAGAGCTGCAGGATAAGATTAATTAGTATTAGTATTATAAAAAAAAAAAAACATTCAGGATAAAAAATCATATTCAGTATATACTTTTAAAAAAGGAGTATTTGATTGGCCTATACTCACGTCCAGTTTTCGTAGTTGTGGCGTGTTCAAGAACTTGTTGACCACACCTTCGTTGGAAGCGCTACCCGAACCACTGCCACTTCCACTTCCGCTTCCCAGTCCCGTTTTAAGTTTAGGCAGGGCACCAGTTGATGTGGGCGCTACGGGGGCTACTGGAATCTCCTGGGCACGCGATGGCAGCGATGTCATTGTTGGCGGGGCCGTTGGTTTAACTCCATCGGTGGCCGTGGGCGTGGCATGACGGGACCAGCTATAATGCTGCTTCCTATATTGGGGAGTATACGAGTTAAAACTGCCGAAAACCGGAGTGTCATCCGTGTCGTCCGTATCTTCGCCACCTAGATCATGGTTATAGCGATCCATGCGAGCTAATTAAGGAAACAATTCTTTAATGTCAATTCAATATTTTCTTAGGTTATCCAGCTTACTGTCAAAATAACTGGTATCATCATCGTGGGACAACTGCGGCACAAACTCCGCCTTCTGGCGTAGCAGTGAGTTCCAATCCATGCCCAGGAAATATTCGTGCTCCTTCATTTCAAGCGCACCCGTTTGGGTGCCCAAACGATCCCTCGGGTTCTGCTGCAGCAATTGCGAAATGATGTCCTTCGCCTCCGATTGCACAGGCCAATCCTCACTGTCCGGCCACTCAATGTCATCGTTGACGGTGTGCGCGAATAGTTCCTCAGTGGTCTCGCCAAAAAATGGCACGCAACCGATGAGGAATTCATAAAGTATGATGCCCATGGACCACCAGTCGACTGGCTTGCCATAGCCCTGGCGCAGGATCACTTCCGGGGCAATATACTCGGGTGTGCCATACACCTAGAAAAGATAAAAAAAAAACAATTAATTAAAAAGAAAAATTGACGTTTCTAGCGCGGCTTCAGAAATCGACGGGTTAAAAATAATGTATACCTGCTTGTCGGAAAACTGTCTGGTCTCCGAGTCAATGTATCCCTCGTACAAATTGGTGGCTAACGACATGAGACCCATCTTGGAGAGCCCGAAGTCCGTTAGCTTGATGTGACCCAGGGCGGTGATCAGAAGGTTGTCCGGCTTCAGGTCACGATGCACGATGCCGTAGCTGTGCAGATATTCTACTGCTAATACTGTCTCGGCGAAATAGAAGCGGGCCATGTCCGCAGGCAGGGGCCCGATGTTCTTCAGCAGCGTGCCGCAGTCGCCGCCCTCCACGTACTCCATCACCAGGCACAGGTGCTTCTTCGTCTCGAAGGAACAGTACATGCTGACCACAAAGGGATTGTCGGCGAACGAGAGGATGTCGCGCTCGGCAAACACCTGCTCCACTTGGTTGCGCAGGATGAGATTATTTTTGTTGATTTTCTTCATGGCGAAGCGCTGACGAGTGGTCTTGTGCTTCACCAGGTAGACGGCTCCGTAAGCACCATTTGAGATCAGCTTGACAATGTCAAAGTCGTTTTCGTGGGGCGAGGGTTGTTGAGCGGCGACTCCACTGCCCGCTGTTGTTCCTGCGGCTGCTCCAGTTACTCCTCCAGTTCCTGTTCCTGCCACACCCGATCCTCCAGCTGCAGCTCCACCGCCTGATAATGATCTCTCCTCATTCATCTGACTGATGGCCAGTGCGAAAGAGGGGGCAGTTTCACATGTAGCCACTGGCGTTTGGGGTGGCTGTTGAGGTGTCGCCGTGCCACTTCCCGAGTCCAAAGCAATGGAATCCAGGGCCAGGCTGCTCAATTGCTTGGCAGCACTGGTTAGGGGTGAATTAAGGAGTAAACTGCCACCTGGTTGGAGTGGATCCGCATCCACGGTGACCTGCTCCGAGCACATCTGCTGTGTCTCCCGCAACTCCTGCTGCAGTTCAGCGATGGGATCGCGGTTAAGACCAAGCTTGTGGATGATGTACTGCGGGATATCCGCCTTAATCACAGGCATGGCCTTGGCTTGTCCCTCAGCAGCCTCCAAAAGCTCGTAGAACTCCTGGGGATCAAACTCCAGGCATTCCAACAAACGAGCTGGACGCGAAATGATCAGCAAAAGCTTCTTAATCACACCATTTAACTCTGCTGCCGCTTCCGGCGACTTCTCCTTGGTCTCAACCAGCAAACGCTCTAGATTCTCACTCAACTCATAAAAATATTGCGAGGTTATCAGCTTGGCCTCAGATTTGTGCAGGCAATCTCTTGCCATTTCCAACACCTGATGATGCACAAATCTATAAGAAAAGAAAAGTTTTTGTATTAACATTATTTTATACAGGCAATATAAAATAGTAAATAAATTCTATTTGTATACTTTTTCAGAGGGTAATACAATTTTAGTCACAAGTTTGCCATTCACTAGCACATTTCCGAACCTATAATACTAGTATATGTGTCCTTGATCAGCATCACCAGGCGAATCGATCTACCCATGTTCGTCTCTCCGCCTGTCCTTTTCTACGCAAAAAGTCTTTTATCTGTAGTATTTAAATCAGAGCGGACCGGATCGGCCTAATATAGCTCCCATAGCACCAATCGGATAAAAAAGGGAAATATTATTATAACTCGGTTTTTCCTAATCTATGCTCCGAGATAGTTTTTATACCCTTGTAGAGGGTATTATAATTTTGGTCAAAAGTGTGCAACGCAGTGAAGGAGACATCTCCGACCCTATAAAGTATATATATTCTTGATCAGGATCGTATCCTGAGTTGATATAAGCATGTCCGTCTGTCCGTCTGTCTGTTTCTACGCGAACTAGTCTCTCAGTTTTAAAGATATCGAATTGAAACTTTGCACACAGCCTTCGATCCTTTGCACGCAGTATATAAGTCGGAACGGCCGACTATATCCTATAGCTGCCATATAATTGAACGATCGGAAATGGCATAACTTTCGTATTTGTAAAGTTAGGAAGTTGGGATTTTCTATGGGTTTCATTTTTGGCCAATCAATCCGACCTACCAAATAGTTAGGAAGTTGGAATTTTTTATGAGTATTAAGAATGCATCATATGAATAATTTTGGTGAAAATAATTAACAGAATATTCTGCAAGGCTATATCAACTTCGGCTCCGGCGGAGCTTACCTTTCCTATCTTGTTAGTTTTATAAAAGTTGGAAAGCTGTATTATAAAGCTGTTATATAATTTTGAATATATTCTTATTCCATACAATATAACCAATTGAATACACAAATGTCGACTCACCGCACTATCGGCTGCGAATCCCTGAAACTATTGCAAGCTGCACTCTTGTTCTCGTTGATGAAGTGCTTCAGCCGCTCCTCCATTTGCTGGGTTGCTTTGGGAAACCGCTCCTTGTACAGCGTGTTCATCACGGCAATTTCATTGTCCACGATTGGCGAACGCGATGGGCTGGAAAGCGATCGGGAACGTGGTCGAAAGAAGGGCGACATCCGACCGCCGACTTGAATTGCACTCGAGGCGGAGCTATTGGCCGAGGGGCCACCGTTACCACCAGCCTGCTGACCACCGCAGGGCAGGCTCAGTTCGGCACAGCAGTTGACACAGGGTGCCGCCATCGGTTTCTGTGGCTGCAGCTGCGATGGCTTTGGTGGCTGGGGCGTCAGCTGCTTCTGGGAAACGGCCAGCAACAGAGCACAGTGCTTGGGACAGTGCTGCTTCAGGTGCTCGGCACAGCAGGCACCAGCAGCCACGGCAGCGGCATCCGCCTCCTGGACTCCGGGCGGAATGTTGTGCGGCAACTGATTAAGACCCTCCTGACTGGAGCACTGAGACTGCGATACACAACAACCATTTGGGGTAAACGGACTTTGTTTGCCGACTATTTCAACAAACTCACCGATAAATTGGAGCTACCCGGGGTGGTGCCGTATCCAGAGGAGGGCAGCGAGGCCACGGACCAGCGACGCCCGTCCACAACGCCCCGGCACGAAGCGATCCGTTTAATCGGAGCAAATGCAAATGGCATGGGCGAATTGAGACGCGGACTGTCCACGGGACTGGCCGAATACGGGGAATGGGCCCGGGATCCGCCAGCCGCCGCTACGGCAGCCGCATTGGTGACCAAGCTGAGGCGATGATGGGCCACACCACTCGAGGAGCCACCGGCGGAACCAGCGCCTCCGCCACCTGACCCTCGCATCACAACGCCGTGCAAGTGATGGTGGTGGTGGTGCTTGGCCAAGCCAATGCCCGCACAGCTGCCCGACCTCGAGATGTTGTGGCCGCCCGAAGGAGAAGCCCCAAAGCCAGGTGCCTGAATCAGAGGCGGAGCGGCCAGCTCGTGGCGGAAATAGTTGCCAGTGAGGCAGGGAGCCGACTTTCCCAGCGAGGAGTGACGCATGCGCAGCAGGTTGGAGGCCTCTGTAATGGATAAACATAAATTTAATGAACCGGTAGATAATCTACATTCTTTCATTGGTTAGATATTTATTTAAAGAGATATTTTTTCATTTTTACGAAAATAGATTTAAAAAGGTTTTAGTTTGGGGACAAGTTTTAAATGAACCTAAATATTCACCTACATATTTATCAAAAAAAATATATATTAAATTATAAATTACATATATTATTACATTTTATTATATTACATATAGCATATGTTTAAATTCTCACAAAAATACGTTTTTAAAGTATTTTTATTTATGTGTAATATTCTTTATACCCTTGCAGAGGATGAAATCATAATACCCTCTGCAAGTCAAAAGTTAGCAACGCAGTGAACGAGTCATTTCCGACCCTATAACGTATATATGTTCTTGATCAGCATCACCACGAAAGTCGATCTAGCCATGTCCGTCTGCCCGTCCGTCTGTCTGTTTCTACGCAAACGAGTCCCTCAGTTTTAAAGCTATCTGCTTGAAACTTTCCCAAAAATTGTCTTTCTATTGCAGGTAGTATATAAGGTAATATTGGTAATATTTTAATATTATGGAATTACGGTTTTAATCGACATTGATACATTGTTTTTAGTAATATAGGCATCGAAATCGAAATGTAGTTGTTTTGTAATAACTGCAAGGGTATATAAACTTCAGCTTGCCGAAGTTTGCTTCCTTTCTTGTTTTGGTTTAAAAATTTTACAAGGACAGCCAGACGAACATTATTAATTCAATAATATAGGTGTCAATCTTTAGGTGTTAATTACGTCAGAATTCACATCTTACTGTAACGACCAAAATAGACTGTAAACACGAGTTTTTCGCACTAAAAGCTAATTTTATCATTAGTATGGAACGGTGGGAAAAATCAGGACTTAAATTCTTATTTTAACCATTTAATAGTAAATTTACATCCTCTAGGTCAAAGCTTACAACTTTAATGGTTAATTCAATATCTTACCACTGCTGACTGCGCGTAGTGAGTTGGTATGCTGCTGATAGGAAATCTTCCGGAGCAAGGCAGTGTATCCCCGCGAGTGTAGCGAACTTGAACTGCCGGATAATCCGCCGGACGAGCTCTTGGTTAAGTTCAGATTGCGCATCATCGAGGAACCGTTGGTACTGTCGTTGCCGATGGATAGCTTGGCCGGCGAAGTGGGCAGCAGCTCCAGTCCGCTGCAGGACTTGACGCTGCTGTTGCAGGAGGACGAGGCCGCCGCCAGAGCTGCAGCAGCGGCAGCTGCCTCCTGGTCGGAGTCGTCGAAGACAAGGACGCGGGCCGAGTAGCTCGACTGCGGACGAATCCGCGACAGATTAGCCGTGCTCAAATGGCGCTTGGGCACGGGACTGCCGCTCATGGTGGCCGCCGTGATGCCACTGCTGCTGTCGGCGGACACGGAACCCGAGATGGACATGGCCTCGATCTCGCTGGCCACGCTCTGGTTGATAAACTCCTGTTCCTGCTGCTCATCGCCCTTCTGCGGCGTCGAGGTGGATATCTTGCTGCCCAGGACAGCGCTCACTGAGTGGGATGATGTCGATGTCGATGAGGATGACGATGGGGCTGGGCCGGCCGCTCCCCCGGCTGGACGGGATGCAGCTGCCTCCTGGCGACTCATGATCGGGCTGGGTTCGCTCTGATCTTCTTAGCAGGATCGCATGTTGTTAGTCTCCGGGGCGTTGTTGCTTCGGCTTTTGGGCATGGCGTCGGCGGCTGCAAAAAGAGCAATTAATTAGCATACGGCTGGCAAAGCGTTTCCCAGTTCCCAGTTTACTCCCCATCCTCATTTCATCCCCGACCCCCAGACACTGGAAATTGCTTCCACACACAAACCCCTGGCTAATTAATCTCGTTGAGTTGTCACTTTGCACGAGCCGGACAGCGCAAAATATATAAAAATGGGATCGAAATAAATAAATATGTATTACATATTATATATTCGTATATGGGAAGCGATCGCCCACTTGGTTTTGGGTGATAGCCCAGAAATTCCACAATGAGCCAGTGCCGGGTAGGCTGAATCACAATGTCGTGCAATAACAAGGGTGCCACGGAAATCTCTTTTAACCAAAAATCGAAAACCCGGTGATTCAGAAATCTATTTTTGTCGATTTAAAAACCGTTCGTTTAATCACTTTTAAATATGAAGTGACTTTCTTCACCTAACTTAAAATATATATAAATCTACTCAATAAATTAAAGATATTTTAATGTTTTTTATTTAACATTGAAATTGGTGAAAAAAAGTAAATATATAAACATAAACTTGTCAATTTACACATACATGGGTATGAGTATACATGAGTTTTTTTATAGTTCACATACAATCATTTTTTTTAATTTTAACAATTCAAAAATTAAGACGTTTCTTGCTTTACGTGTTCCAATTAAGTTGAAACTCCATAGAATATTAAAAAAATTCTCAATTATCAAAAAAAAAGTCCGTGACTTTAAATACAATATAAATAAAGAATATTTATAGTTTGATGATTTCTTTATAAGCCGTATACTTTAAGAGTTTTACTATATGAAGAATAATAAAACCCTGGTTCTCGAAAATATAATTTCTTTAAAGTAAAGCTATTTTCCACTCGCTGGAGTTCATTTGTGCAGTTAATACGTATGTACCTGTATCTTAAACTCAAAGCAACTTACTTGGTTAAAGTTATCTACTTAAAGTGCAAACCAAGAAACCCAGTTTGTGTTCCATTGTTTACCCTTTTCTCTGGTCTCAAAAAAGGGGCCACTAAATTATCGGATTATCAGCAGGTGAGGATCGGAGCTCGCGATGGAAGGGGGCTACGGCTATATAAGCTCTATAAGCACGATCGTAAATGGTGCTCCGAGGTCTCGTAGAAGTTGTCGTAGTCCGACTTCTGCTCTGCGGTTATCAGTTTGTTTTCGTTTCGTTCATTTTTTGTGTGTTTAGTGGCATTTATTCATTTATTTACTCACAACGCACACATATTTGTTTAAATTTCGCCCACTCGGCGCGAGTTATTCACATGATAATTGGATTCGCAAATGCGACCGCCACTGTTTGCACAGATTTGATTATATTGTGTAGAACCCCAGACCGAAAAAAATCGAAAACCAAGGGCAAAGGATTTTCGAGTCGAAATTAATTATGGCCAACAGAAACAACAACAATGTGTGAAACATACGGGGGGTTTGTGTGGGTGTATGGGTAATACTATGAGAGTATGGGTGTCTGTGTGTTGGGGCTCCTTCGCCGCCCACACACACACACTCGCACATACACAGACATTGCGATTACGGGGTTTTTGGCTACAATCAATGCTTATTTTTCACTTTTATATCGTCTAACACTCGATATGGAACTTTACATTTTAAACGCAGCATTTACGCTGGGGCTGACACACACACTCGCGTGCCTAGCACGCTTTTTGAGAGGTATTATTATATATTTTTAACAGCGAAAAATCGTTGTAACAATATCAATCAGTCAAACGGTCACACCTTTAGCGATGACAGCCGATACTGGGCATGTTATCGAAGGTCACGTCGGTGATGACACTTGAAATCATCAGATTGATTTGGTGATAGCCGGCAAATTTGAAATGTATGTGCTGAAATTATATATTTGTAAATCAGTGGAAAGAAACCAGCTATAATTAAAAAAATTGATATTATACCTTTTTCCAGCCGCGAAAAATATGGGAAATGTAAGTTAAATCTTTTCAAAGTTTTTTCAATATTAGTTTGTGTATAAATCCTAAAGCAAAACTATAGAATAAAGAACAAATACAAAAGAATAAAATATTTCAATTATAAAAATGTTTATCACAATAACGACCCAAATATTTTTTTTATGTTGATTACTTAAAACAATTAGCTAACAGGTAAATTCGTTCAGCTTTTGCTGCGTTCTTCAATTCTAAATTTTTCTCACAACGGAGAAAATGATTTTAATACAAAAATTAACCATTAACCATTAACTTGGAAAAATATAAACTCTTAATAATTACAATCAGATGAACTGGAAGTTGAGCTTCTGTTTCAAAGCCTTTCTCAATAAATAGAATGCCGGGGAAAAGTACATTTACTAACTTTATTTATTTATTACGACGCTTTTATAGAGAAATGTAAATTTACCGACCTTGCTTAGAATCTCCGTTATTTAGAATAATCAGAATAAAAGCAAATCTATCATTAATGAGAATACAATACAGTGTAACAATTCGTTAGCCATAGTTCATGTTTGTACTGTGCGAGGTCTGGTAGGCGCTGGATATGTTCTTCTGGGAGCTGGAGCTCGCGGTGGACTGTTGCTGAAAGCCGGATCCCGGCGAGGAGTCCTCCTTGAGATGATCGTTCTCCTGGCACCACTCCACAAAGTCATCGATTAGCACCGGCCAGGCGCCTTCCGAATCGTAGTTGCTCATCCGATCGTCTATGTTGGTGGCAAAGTCCAGCAGCAGGTTCCAGGTGTCCCGCGATATGGCCCGCTTGTGCTTCTCCTCGAGGAACTGGCACCAGATGTCCAAGAACTTGAAGCGCCCACTAAGAACGATGCACCAGTAGGCGATCGCCATGTCTAGGTCAATGCCCTTCTGACCAGGATCCTTGGCGTAGTTGAAGGTGAAGTGGTAAAAGTCCTTGAACTTGCCGGCGTCGCCCAGCTCCTGTTCGAGGATCGGAAGCTTGGCCTTCAGCTTGTCGATGCTATCGATGCCCAGGTCGCACATCCCATTAATGAACTCATCCCGCGAGAATTCGCACTGTACCTCGGCGTGAAACTTCCACGCAATGATTAGCACCAGTTTTGAGTCCGGCTTGAGATCCAGATCGTCGAGGAAATGAATAACCCCTTGCGATCCTATCTTCAGGGGATCACTGGGGTCGCGATAGCGCACGAACAACTGTTCAATCCGCTTACGATCCAACTCTCGGTAGTAGTACTCCGGATTTTGGAAGTAATTATCGCTGGCCAAGTCCAATTTCCAGTCGTTCTGTTGCAAACAGAAAATAGCCGTCTGTTCGCCCGTTTGTGTCAGCGATATGAACTTCTTCACCTTCTCACGGTGCTGGCTGGATTTCAGTTTATTCTGCAAAATATTTAATAAAATATTTTAAACCATTACTTACTATGGACAGTATTATTATAGACACTTGCTGAGTGAAAAAGGGTATATTGTACATTGTAAAAATAGTATTAGACTCAAAAAAGCATTAATGTATGTTTCAATGACCATGAAATTCGAAATAGATGCCGGAAATTCGAAATTCGCCTTTTGCAGAATTTAAAGGGTATATTAATATAAATAATTAATCAGCATCGAGTCCAAATGGCCTGATAGGAAAGATCTTTGGCACTTTAAAAGCTAGTGAATAGAGATTGAAGATGCACATGGCCTAAAAGATCAAGATCTCGGAATCTCCAAGAACTTGTGAATTCACATTCAAAATGCAGGCTCTTTCAAGTTTTTTACTTTCTATGGTGATTAACTTTACAATAAAATATTTAATACATCATAAAATCGGATCACTTTTAAGAAATGGAATCAGATGTAATGTGGAAGTCCTTGTTGAGGGACTTAGAATAACGGGTATTTTATGGCTGGAAGCATCGATTATAGCGTTCTTTATTGTTTACTATATAGATTTTGCTGCCCAGGCGAATTGCATAAATACAACAACAACTAGTGTGCCCAAGCTGGCGCTCCGCGAAGAAGAAGAAGAGGCAAGAGGTTCGAAAATAGAGCGTTTCGCTACTTTCTCCCGAACTCTCACTAGGTTTTAGCTTGACCCCGCACTTTGTGCCACAGTTTGGTCCAGTACTCACCATTGTTGTGGCAATAATTGGTTATTATTTGTTTATTTTACGGGGACTAAAACTTTGTTGGAAAACGTCCCAACTGCGGAGCGCAGGTGTTGGAAAACGTCAGTGGTTTGCCTCGATAAGTCGCGCTATTCCGTTAGGTTTACTTTTCTTAACAATGGACAAAAGATGATGGTTGTTGTTTCGTTGAAATCTTGTCTATTTGTTTATAATTGTTTGCCTATACATATTTTTCAATTGAAAATTTGTTTAGTTTTGTTCAATGGCGAGTGACCTTCAGTGGACGGTTAAAATTTACCAAAGGATTCCGAAAAAAAAATACCGAAACCTGTAACAATTGTACCACGAGGTTGAGAACTTCGATATGAATTAATTACGGGCTCAAAACAGATTTGATTACGATTGTTTTGAGAAAACAGTTTTTAAAAAAATTAATTTTTGCGTTTTTCCAATATTAGTAAGCCTACAATAGGAAATTAAAATAAATTTTTCTTAACATGTAATCAATGCACTTCAAAGACTAATTTCGTTTCTTGTCACTTAATAAATTTGTTTCAAGCTAGATCTGATTACTTTTGTTTCTAATAATTACTTTTGTTTCTAATAATATCGCTAAATAAACAGATGTTTGTAACATAGTGGAAACAATTTGAGATCTATCGATTAATATTTGACGCAAAAGTGGAAACATACCAATTGCTCATCCCCATCTGATTCACTATTGATTTTCACAATAACAAAAGTGGCAAATAAAGCAAATTGGAAGCGTAGAAATTCTAAAACCCGGAATGACGAGATGCAGCCTGGTACTCCTGGGGCTCCTCCTGGCCCTGGGCAACCGGGTCAACGCCAGCGATATCACCGATAAGGTGTTTGAAAATATCAAAGAAGGCATTGTGGCAGCTTTTGGGGACTTTAATTCCGACGAACTCACGGATGTCTTTGTAATTCGCGATAATATGAAGACGTTGCAGATTCTCTATGGTATGTTTTGGGTGTCAGAATGGTCCCTGTGTAATGCTAGTTTCCTAAAGGTCACTACACGGAACCACTGCTCATCGTGGGACCCTACTGCCAGTACGACGGTAAAACCATCGTGAGTGTTATTCCCGGAGATTTCGATGGCGACGCTCAAATGGACGTGCTGGTTAACCTGAAGGGCAGTAACGAGGATACCTACGAAGTCCACATCAACTGGGGCAACACGACCGAACTCAATTGCTCCAAGAAGTCGCTCTTCACGAGCAAAGGAGAAGTGATGGCCCTGGATTTCAATCGCGACATGATCATCGATTTGTTCGGATTGGACACCAATGACCTCCGTACCTTCTGGATATTCAACAGCAACAGGCTTCCCCCAGAGCCCACCCACCAAGCAGAGCCCCCAGGGCTCAGTGGCAACTCGTTGAGCATCCCCAATGCAAATGCTTATCTGGATCTGAACGGCGATTTCCTCGCCGACCTTTTCCTGCAGACGCAGAACTACTTTGAAGTTTGGTACGGCATAAATGAGAGTGACAAGCAGGAGAACTTTAGATACCAGAAGCAGATCAAGTTCCAGCCGATTGGAGACGGTGTCTACCACATCGGACAGGCGGTCTTTATGGACTTTGAGTTGAAGGGCGTGCAGAACATTGTGGTGCCCTTCTGCATTCACGCAAACTGCAGAAACTCCTCGATCCTGGTGCATGATGGCCAGGATTTCCGGAATCTACATGTCAACTTCCGTGATCCACAGGGCATCTCCTGGGCCTTTGTGCCGCCCGTGTCGGATGATGTTTATTTGAGAACCATCACGGCGAGGAGCGGTGACTTTAACCTGGACGGCTACCCGGATTTGCTGGTCACGCTGCAGCCACTAAACGTGGGCAAGCCGGTGATGCAGACGTTTCTGCTGGAGAACGTGCCCTGCACTACGTGTCACAAGCAGCTAAAGCGCACTTTCGAGGTGCGCTGGGGCGCCCTTTCGCCGATGGGCAACAACACGGTGGCCGGCGCCTTTTACGACTTCTACCAGGACGGTGTGCTTGATGTGATCCTCATCCGTAAGGATGCGAAAGGCAAATACCAGCCACTAGCCTTCCTGAACACCCTCGACTACGATGCGAACTTTGTAAAGGTGATTGTGCTGACTGGTTTGGACAACAAGCAGAACCCTGAGCGACGCACTCCCTTGGGTAGGAAAAAACGCACGTACGGCACAAACTTGCCAGGACCCCGCATCACATACAGTACCACCACCCAGGATGGGGATCAGCAGTGCGGAAGCAGCGTGCAATTGCCGCAGGCATCCTACTTCGCCTTGCAGCTGCCGTACACTTGCTTTGGTTTAGGTCGTACGCCAAATTTCGTGGATCAACTGACCGTAGGGCTGGGCGGCAAGTGGCACAACTGGACGCAACTCATACCCAACTCACAAATGATTGTGGTGCCAAAGCCTCTGGACGAACCGTCGCGCTGGAAGGCCCAGCTTTTCGTTACGCCCAGCAAACTCATTCTAATGAGCGTAGTGGCGCTGGGCGGCACCTGCCTGGTCATCGTCTTTATTATTCTTGTGCTATACATCAAGGAGAAGCGCGAGGATAAACAGGAGCGGCTGCAAGAGTCACACAAATTCCATTTCGATGCGATGTAAGATCGCGAATTAAATGTACACTAAGTAGTTTTCTCTTTCGTTTCAACCAAGTCAGTTGAGTTTAATATTTTATGATTAATTAACGTTGATTAATATGCCCAAAACGAGAACTGCACCCTGCCGATTCCATTAGGAGCTTTCCAATCTCATTGACGCCTTAACTTTTCCCAATCAGATTGTAAAAAAGAAGAAATAATTGATGGGGCAACTTAAGGCGCCACTTCAAAACCGAACTAATAATGCAATCGACAGAGTGCGTCCTCTACATCAGATATATATGTATATGGTTTAAGAAATGTGATAAATATAAAAGCGATAAAAAAATAAGAGATTGAGGAGTTTTACTCGCTGCTTAGACAAAATACATTGGGTTTGTCTTCATGAATTCGGGCACAATCTTGCGCTTCTCGTATTCCTTCTTTAAATCCAGGAACCTAGTGGAGCTGTAATATACAAAAGGGGTTTAATGACAGAATACTGAACAAAAGTCAGACTTACCCTGTGAGATAAACGCGCCCGCGTGCTGCCACCAAATGGGCCAAGTAGGCCGGAGCCGGATACGAAACCGATCGATTGCAACGGGGGAACATGTGGCACAGGTTGTAGGTCAACTGCTGCAGCAGGTCGATGTCCAGATTGCCCGTGTTCTCAATTACATTGTAACGCGTCGGCTTGGCCGTGCCCTGGATGGACTGGTGGCTGACCATGAAGAACTGCATCTCGTTGGGATGGACGATGGTGCGGTCGACCACAGTTCCGGGGTCCACGTTGTTGAACTTGTTGTACTGCGATGGCTCGCCGTTTGGAAAGAAGCGAGTGTGGTGGCGCTTCACAACAATCACGCAGCAAATCTTGGGCTTGATACCCACCTGAAAATGTCCGTCCAGCAAGTCATTTTATTAAAAACTTTGAAACCAAACCCACCTGAGCACAGGCAGCATTAATGCCCCTCAGTTCCGCGTTCTTGATCTTTGGAAACTGTCCGTCGCTCACACCGTCTCGGTAATAGAGAATGTGGTCCGGATAGGTATTTCTGTACTGCTTATATACACGCAGGTGCTCCAAAGTTATCGACAGCATGTCCTCGATCTCCTCTAGAGCTGAGCGCTGCAGCCGATATTGCATGTTGTAAGAGGCTCCGTGAGGATCGTGGGAGGCTGCCACGCCCACCACACTGGGAATCTCACGCTGATCGGGCGACGGATGGGTCACATCGGCACCCAGATACATGGCGTTCTTGAGCATCGGCAGTCGGGGATCATCCTTGATCTTGTGGTTGATGCCGTTCAGCTTGGAGTTGACCTTTAGTAGTATGTTACCAACGGTCTGTGGGGTCATCTTTCGCTCTACGGTGAACTGTTTAATGCACTGCGTCAGAATGCCGTGCTGCAGCTCGGCTTTCTGCTTGATGACGTCGTAGGAGGCCCCAAACTGGGGAATAATAACAAACGCCAGATCGCACTGTTGTTTTTTAAGATCCGAAAAGCATTCGTCCAGGTGGCGCTCGTCTCTGAAGCTCCTGATTTCCGCCTTTGCATCCAGGCTCACGCTCACTGTCTTGCTTTGGTTAAACATTTGGCGCTCGAAGTCAACCACCTGGTTATAGTGCATCTTGCGACCATGCGGCGGATCAAAATACAAAATCGCCCACTTATGGGCCTTGGGTTTGGGCTCCAGGAATCGCATGTTGTCCATGCGCCACGATCCGTTCCTCACCGGGCACAACCTGTTGCCCTGGTACTCCACTTGCGGTGCGTTCAGAGTGCGGGTGTCCACCACAATAAAATCGTTGGCGATGCGGATGCCAAAGCGACTGACGGTCGGATCCAGGTTGTGCTTGAAGTATTCCAGCAAATGTATAATCTTGCTCTTTCGTTCGTTTGTCGATGTGGCGGCGAACTTAATCATTTTGGCCACCTGATTGGCTCCATCCTTGCGCTGTGAAATAAATATTTGGACCGTATAAAAATATAAATCAATTTCTGCATTTCTCCCACAAAAAGTGGGTAAACGTCTTTGGTAAAAATATGACCATTTTGTTTATTTATTTTGTTAATAAATAAATTAATAAATTTACGATAGGGAAAATTATAGACCATATAGCTGTCTTTAAGATATTGTTGCAACAGAATTCACTAAAATTAATCAAGAATCAATGAGAAACTCACATTCAATGGCTGACCTTCCTCGATAGTGCAAAGCTCAATGGGCACTAAGATATTCTTCATCGGAGGTCCAACGTGCAGGCAGTGGAGTTGGGGGAACTGCAAGTTGTAGTTTCGACTCCTGAAATATTCCACAATGGTGACATTCCTGCCCTCGTGCTCGAAAGTCTCCCTGTTGGCCGGGCTTCTAGAAAGTCCATTCACTTTGTAGACTCTCGGAGCCGTGGCAAATGCTTGTGGTGGTTTGTAAATCACATTGATGCCTTTGAGGAACGGCTCGATATAGCGCCGAGACTGATCGAGATTGGTGGTATTATTGATTCTCGACTTTAAGCCAAATCGCTCAAGATATTCCAATACCGGCATGGCAATCGGAAAGGACTTGTGCGATATGTCGACGTTTAAAAACGGGCGGTCACCCAGAATGAAAGCCTGAAACAGGCCAACCAAGGCCTCGTAGCCATCGTCCAGGTCTTGGCGTTGACCAGGCTCGGCCAGCTTGAAGAAGGAGCGACCGGCCCGAATAGACTTGTTGTGGCAGGGAACCGCCATCACGACCTCCATGCACTGCATCGCCCGCATGGGCTTGTCGAAGATCCTATCCGACATATAGCTGCAAAACGGCTAGTCAAAATTTGTTATTCTTTAGTAATTCCCTGTTACTTACCTCCTCAGCGAGCTCAGATCGATTTCCGAGTCACCGGTCTCCTTGATTTCCACTGTGTAACGCAGAGTGCGCCCATTACGATCTGTCACCTGGAATGCGTTAAGCCAGAAATAAAAATCATTTACTAATTGATGTATAATAGCATACATAAATACATCATACAAATAAAATTGTATTCTTATTCTTAATTCTTAAATTTTTGCAATAAAAACTTACAGTTACTTCCGAGTTCTGAGTCTTTAATGGCAGCTTATCCGCAGAGTAGCAGGAAGCTCTGCCGTCATAGGCGGCAATCGCACCACCCAATTGATCGATGCGAAACTGTTCGAATGCCTGCCTGTAGAACTTTTTGGGCCGCTCTGGCATAATTTTCACATCGTAGTGATAGGCCTTGGGCGGCATTTTGGACAAGTCAATGTCCAGATAGTTAACGGCTACCCGGCCTGGTTTGCCGATGGTTCCGCGCTTCATACTGCCCGCTGGCTGAGGCAATGCTGCACCAAATTGCGTTCCTTGCTGCTGTTGGGGCGGTCCCTGGCCCTGGCGTTGCTGGTAGTCCCCTTGCTGTTGTCCCTGGGATCGTTGTTGGTAGCCACCTTGTCCTTGCGGACGCTGCTGGTAGCCACCTTGTCCTTGCTGACGCTGCTGATAGCCGCCTTGTGCGCCCTGTCCCTGTTGTCCTTGCGATCGTTGCTGGTAGTCCCCTTGCTGTTGTCCCTGGGATCGTTGTTGGTAGCCACCTTGTCCTTGTGGACGCTGCTGATAACCGCCTTGTGGACCTTGTGCCTGTTGTCCTTGCGGACGCTGCTGGTAACCACCTTGTCCTTGCTGACGCTGCTGATAGCAGCCTTGTTGACCTTGTGCCTGTTGTCCTTGTTCCTGGGGACGTTGCTGAAAACCACCTTGCTCTCCTTGTGGGCCGCCTTGAGCCCTCGTTTGCTGAAGCGGTGCACGCTGCTGACCCTGCGATTGTTTTTGCTGTCCGCCCCATCCTTGGCCGCCTTGGGTTTTCTGCTGCTGGCCGCCCTGCTTCTGCCATCCTCCGCCGCCCTGTTTGCCCCCAGAGGCAGACGCTCCGGAGCTGGTTGATGGCTGGCTTGCCGCCTGTTGTCCTGCACCTCCTGCGGATTTTATATGAGTATTAACAAATTAATCAAGAATTTTTGGTTTATGTTTTCAGGGCCTTGCTTACTAAAAGACATTTGTAAAAGTTATTCTGAGTTCGAAGCAAGGCGTAATAAGCCTACAAATAAATCTGACATTAACTGTCAGTTTCGCTGCGAATGGCAACTAGACTGGTCAAAATCCGTGTGTAGCTCCTGATTATAACCGTTACTCGTAGAGTAAAAGGGTATATTGTATTCGTGCAAAAGTATGTAACAGCTAGAAGGAAGCGTTTCCGACCCTATAAAGTATATATATTCTTGATCAGGGTCACTAGCCGAGTCGATATAGCCATGTCCGTCTGTCCGTCTGTCTGTCCGTCTGTCTGTCTGTCCGTATGAACGCTGAGATCTCGGAAACCATAAAAGCTAGAAGATTGGCATTTTGCATGCAGATTCTAGGAGTTCCTACGCAGCGCAAGTTTGTTTCAAAAAGGTGCCACGCCCCCTTTAACGCCCACAATCGCTTATATACGATTTTAAAAATTTAAATATTTCGGAAAAGTAAAAATGCAGTTTTATTGTGTTTATCAATACCTATCGAAATGTAGAAGAAATTTTTCAAATCGGACCATTCGTTAAAAAGTTATGCGTGATCAAAGTTTCTATCTCCATCTCCCTCGCACTCCCTTTACCTGAGTAACGGATATCTGATAGTCGGGGACCCGACTATAGCGTTCTCTCTTGTTATACCCTTGCAGAGGGTATTATAATTTTGGTCAAAAGTGTGCAACGCAGTGAAGGAGACATCTCCGACCCTATAAAGTATATATATTCTTGATCAGGATCACCTCCTGAGTTGATATAGCCATGTCCGTCTGTCCGTCTGTCCGTCTGTCCGTCTGTCCGTCTGTCTGTCCGTCTGTCTGTTTCTACGCGAACTAGTCTCTCAGTTTTAAAGATATCGAATTGAAACTTTGCACACACCCTTCTTTCCTTTGCACGCAGTATATAAGTCGGAACGGCCGGGATCGGCCGACTATATCCTATAGCTGCCATATAACTGATTGATCGGAAATGCCATAACTCTGCTGTTTGTTAGGTTAGGAAGTTGGGACTTTCTATGGGTTTTATATTTGGCCAATCAATCCGACGTACCAAATTTCATAAGGATCGGCCGACTATATCTTATAGCTTCCATATAACTGATTGATCGGAAATGCCATAACTTTGGTGTTTGTAAAGTTAGGAAGTTGGGATTTTCTATGGGTTTTATATTTGGCCAATCAATCCGACGTACCAAATTTCATAAGGATCGGCCGACTATATCTTATAGCTGCCATATAACTGATTGATCGGAAATGCCATAACTTTGGTGTTTGTAAAGTTAGGAAGTTGGGATTTTCTATGGGTTTTATATTTGGCCAATCAATCAGACGTACCAAATTTCATAAGGATCGGCCGACTATATCTTATAGCTGCCATATAACTGATTGATCGGAAATGCCATAACTTTGGTGTTTGTTAAGTTAGGAAGTTGGGATTTTCTATGGGTTTTATTTTTGCCTAATCAATCCGACATATCAAATTTCATAAGGATCGGCCGACTATATTCTATAACTGCCATATAACTGAACGATTGGAAATGCCATAACTTTAGTGTTTTTAAAGTTAGGAAATTGGGATTTTTTATGAGTATTAAGAATGCATTATGAATGATTTTGGAGAATATAATTTGCAGAATATTCTGCAAGGGTATTTCAACTTCGGCTCCGCCCGAAGTTAGCTTTCCTTTCTTGTTTTATGTTGAGTTCTTGCAATTGTTTCGTGTTAATCAGCAACCAGAGAGTGATCTCCAACTTACACTATTGTGCTTATCTGCGCGCAATCTAATTTTAGACACCGCCCTCCGGTGTCTCTATTATTTTGGCTAAATTCTACCAACTGAACAGAAGTGCAATCATTGTGAACAAGCCCATTGGGCTGGGTCAAAAGTTAAGACTTTTGAAGAGTATGTTTTTGATTTATATTCTTCTCCTAATCGGAAATGAATAGCAGCACACCTTCTTGTCCGCCGCTCCCGAGAGAGCTGTCTGGACTTGGGAGGTTGAAGGCAATAGCTGGTCAAAGCCCAGCGGAACTACGAGCCAAACTTGCAAGCGATTGGCCCTTCAACTAAAAAGAGCAGATGCAGTCTCTTCCATTTCTACCTATCCAGGAACTAACAATATTCCAGAAGCACTGGCTTGGGGTGCTCCTTTCAATTACCTAGTACTTCTCGTCGCAGGAAACGGATATCTTCCGATCTGAGTAAAGAGCCAGCAAAAGTAAAGGAAATGTTATCATTGCAACAAACGGTAAAGTTAATCAAAATACTACGCCAAATGCACTGCGCAAAAAACCGCTTCGCACCTTCAGCTAAGGAGATAAATGTAAACGAGGAGCCATTTGAGCCCAATATACACAGCTCCGGAATTAATGCTCATCAAGGACAGAACCATTCCAAATCGACCAATCCCAAACCTCCACCAATATGTGTACCTAAGGTAACTAATATTCTCACTCTGTAAATAACACTTTGTTAAATCATATCTGGACATAGTTATTACATATGTACGTACGTCTAAATTCGGAATTACCCGCATATTCTTCCCAAAAAGTCATAAACTGTCATAAATTCAGTCGACTACTACAACTTGTTATACCCTTGCAGATAGTATTATAATTTCAGTCAAAAGTTTGTAACGCAGTGAAGGAGACATTTCCGACCCTATAAAATATATATATTCTTGATCAGCATCACTAGGAGAGTCGATCTAACCATATCCGTTTCTACGCAAAAAAATTATAAAATTATATATATAAATTATTATTTTGTTCTTTGGGAGTTGGTAATATTTAAATATTATGGATTTACGGTTTTAATTGAATTAAAATAGGACAATAATATCAAATAACTGTCATAGAAACGATGGCAAAATGCAGTGCAGAATCGACAGAGCTTCATTGTTTTAAGTAATATAGGCATAGAATCGAAATGTAGTCGATTTGTAATAACTGCAAGGGTATATAAACTTCGGCTTGGCGAAGTTTGCTTCCTTTCTTGTTTTGGTTTAAGAATTGTACAAGGAAAACCAGACGAATATTATTAATTCAATAATAAGAGGATTGGTGGGTTTAAGACCAAAACAAGAGAGAACGCTATAGTCGAGTGCCTCGACTATTAGATTCCCGTTACTCAGCTAAACAACTTTAGATTTTGCATTAACATAATGTGAATTAGATTGACCACAGGAAAAAAAGACAGAGAGTTCAAATTATCAATTTGAATTAGGCGATCTCTTAGAGCTGGCAGCTTTACAGCACGAGCATCAGCACCAGCGCTGCTTTAGCGCAGGCAGCTTTTGTCCTGCACCAGCATACACACATACGCCATTGTTTGACTCAGACCTCCAATTTGGCTAACTTGATTTGATTTGCATAGTTCTTGGGGTATAGTTCGGTATTGACATATGAAAACCATCGCAATTTCCTTTAATAGAAATCCTAATCGAGAATTAACAAAGTCATCCGTTAGATGGCGCTATTGTATTGCGCCATCTACCCCAAGACATTGGTACCACGAGCCATGAAAGGCGGAAATGTAGGCGCTAGCCAGGCTTAAGCGTTTAATGAGTTTTGGGCGTTTGACGAAACAAATACATATTAATTAAAATTTTCATAATAGCATCAAAACTGTGGCCACAGCTTGTGGCTTGTGGGCGTCAGAAGGGCGTGGCACCATTTTGAAACAAACTTGCGCTGCTTAGGAACTCCTAAAATCTACATGCAAAATGCCAATCTTCTAGCTTTTATAGTTTCCGAGATCTCAGCGTTCATACGGACGGACAGACAGACGGACATGGCTAGATCGACTCGGCTAGTGATCCTGAACAAGAACTTATATACTTTATAGGGTCGGAAACGCTTCCTTCTACCCGTTACATACTTTTGCACGAATACAATATACCCTCTTACTCTACGAGTAACAGGTATAAATATGGAAGATTTGTGGAAGTCCGAGTGGTACTCTATTGAATCATCAATTTGTGCCAATTTGGTGGATTCAATGGGACTCCGGTGAACCGAAGTCATTAAAAATTGCGGTGGCACGACTATATATTAAAATTACAATCTAAGCTTATAGGCTTTGAAGTTACAAAACTGTTTTCCATAGAATTAAGTATGTTTATAAGTGCTACAAAGACTTCAAAGAGGGTCGGGAACGTGTTGATGACTTGGAGCGCTCCGGACGACCATCGACGTCAACAGATGACCAACACCTCAATGAAGTGAAGGATTAAGTGCTCAAAAATCGTCGGTTGACTGTTACAGACCTTACTGATATGATCGGAATATCATAAGGATCTGTGAAAACCATTTTGAAACAGCATTTGGGCCTTCGAAAAGTCAAATCTCGTTTGGTACCGAAAACGATTAATTTCTGCACTCGTTCTTCGTGACCAAATCGCCAATAATTCGACGCATATCGTTCCGCAACCACCGTATTCTCCTGATTTGGCTCCGTGTGACTTCTGGCTATTCCCAAAACTCAAGAGACCACTTCGGGGAACGCGTTTCGAGTCGATTGAAGAGATAAAAGCGGAATCGACGAGGGCACTCATGGCTATGCCGGAAAGGGACTATTTGGCCTGTTTCGAGGATTTGAAAAAACGTTGGCATAATTTTTTTTATCGGGAGGGGATTACTTTGAAGGGGTAAAATTGATACAGGAGAATAAATAAAAAACTTTCACTTTACAAACAAATTCACCTTACTTTTTGCCCACAGTAGTATGTACAAAGGTTATGTAGGTACACTCATGGACAAAATAATAGGTGTTTTTTTTTCTTTTTTAACTTTCTTTAATCTCAACAAATCAATTTTTTTCAATATTTCTTTTAATTGGCTTATAAAAAAAAGTAAAAACAGATTCACAAATCCTTTAATATAACACTAAATTAAATATTTTCTTAAATCCGCCAATTTTGGCTGGACACAATAATAGGTGTACAAAGATATACAGTGGCTCACAGTTTAAAGTATGCACTTCAAACCCCCAACTTCAAACTTCCATAGTGTTAAAACTATTAGGCGTACTGCAACAAATGTGGTGTCAAATTAAAGATGATATTGTTTAGATTAAATTAGTGACTTCATTTATTGTCTACTTTTTCATTTTATAACCAAAACATAACAAAATAATAAAATACTGCTTATTTCTACCTCACAGCTTATTTTATGCAGCACCAAAAATATAAAAATATTTGGAAAGTATTTATTTTTTTTTGTTTTTTAGTATTTAGTGTGGTAGCCTTTAGTGTCTATTACCGCTTGAAGCCTTTTTGGCATCGAATCCACTAATTTTTTCGTCAGATCGGCTGATATAATGCTCCTCTCTTTGAAAAGAGCATCCTTCAGCTGGTTTTTGTTCGAAATGGAGTATTTTCGAATATTATTCTCCAAAATTGCTCACAAATTTTCGATCACGTTTAGATCTGAAGATAGAGACGGCGGAATCATCATATGGGGACAGTTGTAGCTCAGCCAAGACTGCACAATACCCGCCTTGTGCTATGGATCATTGTAATGATAAAAACGGAAATTTGACCTTATTCCCTGATCCTCCGCACTTTGCAACAAATTGTCCTTGAGAATATTGAGATATTTCATTTTGTCCATTGTAGACTCAAAAAAGTCCAGTTTTCCAGGACCGACAAAAAATTTGATCCCAAGTACACACAGTTTTATAACTGTCAAACAGGGAAGTAGTAGCCTAATGGTACGGGCCTGCTTTTCATGGCATGGTTTTGGTCCGATTTATCAAATTGACGGAATAAGGGACAGATTTGTCAACAAATTTCTATTGGAGACTATGATGCTACCATATGTCCAGGATAATATGCCACTTTTATAGAAGTTTCAGTGGATAATGACCCGAAGCACGCCTCTCGAGTAGTAAAGGATTGGTTCTGAGAGCAAAATGTGGTGATTTGTTGAGATTAGAGAAGATATAAATTAGAAATAGAAAGTTAAAAAATAAAAAAAAACACACCTATTATTTTGTCCATCAGTGTATGTATGGTTGGGGAATAAGCGCTCTGAAATGCAGGGCTCAATTGTTATCTTAGCATTAATTAAGCAATGAGCAGTGAAAAAGTTAAGGACAGAACATGTGAATAAATGAGCAAGTGAGCGAATGAACAAGTGAGCGAATGAACAAGTGAGCGAATGAACAAGTGAGCGAATGAACAAGTGAGCGAATGAACAAGTGAGCGAATGAACAAGTGAAGTGAGCGAATGAACAAGTGAGCGAATGAACAAGTGAGCGAATGAACAAGTGAGCGAATGAACAAGTGAGCGAATGAACAAGTGAGCGAATGAACAAGTGAGCGAATGAACAAGTGAGCGAATGAACAAGTGAGCGAATGAACAAGTGAGCGAATGAACAAGTGAGCGAATGAACAAGTGAGCGAATGAACAAGTGAGCGAATGAACAAGTGAGCGAATGAACAAGTGAGCGAATGAACAAGTGAGCGAATGAACAAGTGAGCGAATGAACAAGTGAGCGAATGAACAAGTGAGCGAATGAACAAGTGAGCGAATGAACAAGTGAGCGAATGAACAAGTGAGCGAATGAACAAGTGAGCGAATGAACAAGTGAGCGAATGAACAAGTGAGCGAATGAACAAGTGAGCGAATGAACAAGTGAGCGAATGAACAAGTGAGCGAATGAACAAGTGAGCGAATGAACAAGTGAGCGAATGAACAAGTGAGCGAATGAACAAGTGAGCGAATGAACAAGTGAGCGAATGAACAAGTGAGCGAATGAACAAGTGAGCGAATGAACAAGTGAGCGAATGAACAAGTGAGCGAATGAACAAGTGAGCGAATGAACAAGTGAGCAAGTGAACAAGTGAGCAAGTGAACAAGTGAGCAAGTGAACAAGTGAGGAAGTGAACAAGTGAGCAAGTGAGCAAGTGAACAAGTGAGCAAACTGAGTGAGTTGACTCATTAAAAATGAGCAGTTTTTACCCAACACTATTTGACAATATCTTTAAAAAGCCTTTTTCCCCCAAATACGATATTTGAATTTTAACTGCTTGTCAACAAACCCAGCTGATTGACAGTACGACCGTAGCACGCTTAATTTTGATGAACTCTCGAAATTTTGGTCACACTGGAAATATTAAAGTTTTTACGCTAGCGAACTCGTTTGTCGATCTGAGTACTAGGCTTAATGCCTAATCCTTTTTTCGTCACAGCATTTTGGTATCAGAAATTTTGTATGTTGGAAGTTCGATCACCACGACTTTTTTACTTCGTTAAGAGGTTTATTTTTTGTTGTTTTGTAGCTGAGGCAGCTTTTGTTTTCATTATTTTAAACAACCTGATAATTGTGCACTGCATATACGAACATGTATGTATATAACTACATACGTGTATCAGAACGTGTTTTCCACCAACACAGGTGAGCCCTCATAATTTCATCATAGGTGCTTTGAATGTTGTGATTCCCCGTTAAATGCAAAACTTCTGGAATGTACGATTACCCCTCCCAACAAGAATAACTCTGGCGCAAACATATATACGTATACGAAATAGTGTTAAGTAATTCAAAATAAATACACATCTTTCGTCTTCGTCGACAAATTGCACTAAAATGCACTAACCTTGTTGTTGTTGTTGTGCAGGAGCTGCAGGCGTGGGCTTTTCCTCTTCTTTCTTGAATTCTGTTTGTTAAGTTAACGTTTAAATATATATTATACATAGTTTGGCATGTCGGGCAACTTACTATTCTTTTTTCCCATCGTTAAAACTTGATATTTTGTATCAATCTGCTTTAGAAAATGGTTTGCTGTTTTGCTGTTTTACTTTGTTCTGCGTTGTATAGTGGTGGATAAACTTCGATAACGACATCTATGTCATTGTTATTTTCCAAATATCGGTGATATAGGTAATATCGATGTTTGGCCGGGCAGAGATGTTTTCCATCTCTAACGAGAATCGAAAATCTCACTCCAGTTCTGAAGCACTCTGATATTTTCCACTCCATTCTCGGGCACTCGTTATTTTTCACTCCATTGCTTGCAGGCACTCTGTTAGTTTCCACTCCAGTCATAATGCACTATTTAACTACCATAGCACCGTAAAAAATGTTATCAAATCTTCCGAAATATATAAAGTACAAATTAGGAAAATTTTAATAATACAAATATTAAGTTAAGCCCATTCGCTAATGGTAAGTTAAATGTATTTTATTTCTATCACTAAGTTATCGCTTTTTGAAAGTCTACTTTAAAAAATTTGTTTTGGTATATACTGATAAGAATTGCCTTTTTTTATGTTTTTTTTATTTTATTAAACTAATTATTGCAACTGAGTACTTACATTTCTCCGATATTTAAAGTCAAAAAGACACGCAAGAGCAACAGTTCATGTTGCTGCAACATTTACCGGGCAACATGTTGCATTTAAGCAAAAAACTTTTATAATGTTTGAAAATTATCGCAGTAGATGTGAACTTTAATTTCTGATAAAAATATTTTTTTTATGATTAAGGAATATTTAAAAAATACATTTTGGGATTTTATTCCTTAACGAAAACTAAAGCTATATCTGCGAATACAATTGCTGATTACCTAGAATCAGACAGTTTATTTTTAAAGGAATAGGCCAATTTTATGAGCTGTGTTTGTAAATCATTTTTCTGAAACTTCTGTCAAAAATAATCTTATATTATGAGTTTTTATGAAGACGGTTGCCGAAGCGCAGACGAAATAAATTGGAACTTAATTTATAACTTTTACTTTTTACTTAATACAAAAACTTGACATCGGGCCGGCAAAAACAGCAAAATAAGTAACAGAAATGTCCGCCCATCAACAAAGTTACAAAAGTATGAATTTAAGCCATGTTATTACTTGTTATGTTATTCATTCTTGATAACTTTATAAACAGTATCTCTAGATGTATATTTTTACCCGTTTTAGTTAAAATTATTTAACGTCGAAAAAAAAAACGTAAGACAACATAAGAGTATCGATTTTTTCCCGGTTCCATTTTTAACGAAAGTTTTTGTTACAATTTCGGATCTTGATCTCGGATTCGAATTTGACCTTTTGAATTGAATTCGACGGTTGAGGAAAATTACCGATCGAAAATGCGGAAAATCAAGGAAAAACTAAGTAAGAAGCAGTTTATTTAGAATTGAAAATTGAATTTTTATATCGCACAAAACAGATCTTGAATTATACGTTGGAAAGCAACGAAGGCTTGTCGATTTTCCTATTAGTTTATTGTCGTTCCATTTTAATTAAAATAAATTAAAATTATCACTACCTACCGTACCGTCCGATGTCCAATGAAAATCGACCGATTTCTGAAATTCGTATAAATTACTAAATTCCAGAGTTTATGCTTATGTTAATAAGACAGCCCTCTAAAATTTTAATTTATTCTTATTCCTCATCGCTAAAAAATAATAACCACTTTTCCAAATATATATAAAGTAAAACACACACATTGCTGCTGTTGTTATGGTTGTATGAATTTTATTTGGAATTGCACTTTCACTTTTGCCAAATTACAGCAACCAATCATAAAAGTTTTACAATTTTTTTTGGATTTATTTTCTGGTTTTGTTTTTTCCTTTTCAACGTTAAACATACAATATATGCGTTTAAAATGCTATAGCCAAAAAATAGTATATAGTCGTACATTATTCATACTTGTATATATAAATATATCATAATGTATTTCTCAAGTTTTTTTTTGTAATTTGTTTAACGCATTTTATAATAAAATAGTTTTGTCATTGCACGAGCTTTCCATTTTTTAACTTCAATTTTTTGTTTTCGTATTTTCTCTAAATATTTTTCTTTTAAAATTTTACTAACAATTGCACAATTTCGTCCGCTTGATTTATACACACATGCACAGACATACATAAAAATAGCTAAAATATTTCGTATAGATATTATCGATTTGATAAGAAATCATCAATTTAGGCTTAAATTTTCGTTTAAGTAATTTTGTTTATATAAATTCAACTAATTTAAACTAGAATGACTCATTCAGAACGCTTCGGAAAGAATACAAAAATATCTGTATAAATATTTATGCCAAAAAATTGCACTAGAACGTAAAACTCAAAATGTAAACATAAAAAACAAAATCATTGCTGCGAAATTTGATTGAATTGGGTTTTGCTCTCTATATCCCTTAGGTCAGTGCAGCGCCTTCTTATAATATAAAACTTAACAAACAATAATTCATTTTCATAATTGGCTCGGAAATGGTTTAAATCGCCAGGCAACGCGGCAGGTGGAGAACGGAACCGAATTGGGGATACGGATACCCATTATAAATTCGTATAATTTCCATCTATCGAAACTCCATTTTGACGGCTGCTGGCAAACAGATGATGAAGAGAAACTTAAATGCTGCATATAGACATAGTTCGTTATATAATCCTTCTACATAGCTACACATTATGGAATTGTTTAGGTATTTTCTTTCGTTTCAGCTCGTTTGTTTTTGAGAAATATCGTTTAAAGGAACAAGAGTCATGCCAAAGACAGCACAGAGATTTTGGGCTCCGGGAGTCTTTCGTTCATTCATTCAATCATTATTAAAACATAATGTACTTGTCGCCGCTCGTAGATCAACTCCAATCTGGATTTGATATATAATTAGAGCCCATTCGCGATCAGCTATATTTTGTATATTTTTTTTGTTAACCTTTTCAATTCTTTGCTGTTTTTTTATGTTTTTGTTTTTGGTCTGTTGATTTCGTTTCATTACAATATTATTATTTAGCTTCTCTTTAGACGCTTTCTAGATTGGCTTCTGCTTTTGAGCTTCTCGATTGTAATTGTAATTGTAATTGTGGTTGTAGTTGCAGCTGGTCGTTTTGCCTAAGCTCTAGATCAAGTTTATATAACAGGAATGCATGACTAATATACATATCTATATAATATAGGTCCTACAAGTAGCTAGGATTACATACACATTAATTATACAGTTTTAGTTATGGGCATCTAGGCAGCTTAGCCTTGTGGAATATATGGTGCGGTGGAGCAGGAGGGAGGGGAATGTTTACCGCTTTGTGCTAACCAAAAGCCGAACAAAAAAATTCATCAAATTTCCATATCATCGCATAAATTCTTGAAAAACTCCCAGACTGATTGAAAATCGAAACAAAGGACTGAAGACATACACGTATAGATCTACAAATAACTCGGGAAGGCGGGCAAACAAGAAACGGATCCGGGATCCAGAACCCCTCGAATTCGGGGATTTGGACCGGACTTAGGACTTTTTCACATTGTGCTTGCTAACTAGGGCCTGCAGTTTGTGCAGCTGACTAAGTAGATTGGCATTGGTCTCCTCCAGCCCCTCGAGGCGCTTCTTGTAGTCGTGATTCTCGGTGACAAGGATCTCCACGCGCCTCTCCAGTTGGTCCATGTACTCCTTTTTCTTGCGGCGACTCTCCTGAGCAGAGATCTGTAAAATCACAAATAAAATTAGTTAGATTTTCTTTCTTAAAGCTGGTTGTAAACGGTGAAGCGGCTACTTCAGCTGAACCAGCCGCTGCGCCGTTTACAACCATAGTCTTATTTTGAACATACTTTATTCTTGATTTTGCGTCGAATCTTCTTGAGCGATTTCTCCTCTGCTTTGGTTAGGGGAAGCTTCTGAGGGATAGGATAGCCTTCGGCCAGCAAAGTGCGTTTCTCCTCCTCCGTGAGCAACAGCGTCCCAGTTGAGCCCTTCTGCAAAATGCAATTATATTTTATATTAGACCATTGTATTGCACAAATAAGTGTATAATATCTTGCGAAATCGCCACAGTGACTAATTCTAATTTTCCAAAATTTAAAAAAACGTAGATTAGTTTCTTCACTTCCCATGAGTCATAGGATTTTGAATTGCCTTAAGCTGATTGCCCTATATGTATATGTTTCAAACTAAATAATTATTAGAATTATCAGAAAAAATTCAAAATAATTCTCGCTTTCAAGAAATTAAATCATTAAATAATGAATAATAAATATTTATAAGAAAAATTTTCAAAATATCGACCTCATTATCAAAGAGAATAAAATAAACTTGTTGCTTAATAAATTTGTTTCCTTATCAATTTTTATACTGAAAACGAGTGTTTAATATATTTGGTTAAATCTTTAATAAAGATAATGGGGTCTTGTGAAAATAGTTTTATTTCTATTTTGTATTTATAATAGCCTTTCATTTTTAAATATATTCATATAAATTAAAAGAAATTGTGAATGCCACAGTCTAGACTTGTAAAATCCCTGAGATCTTCAAATTCCAAGCCACCCAACATTTTAAATGGAGCTAAGTAAGTTTGTATGGGATCTTTTATTTAAATATTTAAAATAGTTTTATGTCTATACTATTTGGTTGGTTAAAAAAATGAGCCTGTAGATAGGCAACATTTTTTATAATTCAGCTATTAATGAATTTCCTTTTTTATAGAATAAATATATACATTTTTACAAAAATAAAAAAAAAATAAAAGAGTCTATTTGTGATTGACTTTTACGGTCCATTTTCAAACGTGAAATAGTATTTGTACAAATATTATTTAAAAAAAATGTAAAACAAAAAAAAAATCTTCGATGTGTGTATTTGATTCAATATAATTATCCTAAATTGAAAATACAGTAACATTTAACATTTTTTAATGTATTATATGATTTGAATATCAAATACAGAAAAAATTTGTTTATGTGACAGAAAAAAATTTGCATAGAAGAAACCAATAGTGTGTGCTATTAATTGGGTGTGGAATGTTCGAACTTACCGGCTGCGAGCTAATCAGCGGCGTGTGGATCGGCTGCCGTGTCGTGGTGGCCGTTGTGCTGGAACTGGATCCTGATGCGGAGCCGGTGGACGAGCGCGTGATGCCGGCAGCGGTGCGGCTGACCCGTACGGATGGCGATGACTCGCCGCCGGCTGCATTGGCCACGGAGATAGAAACGGAAGCGTTGGGCGACAGGGGCGAAAACAAGTGTTCCGGTGTCAAGTTACCTTCGGAGTCGTCGCTGGGCAGGGATGAGGGCGGCGTCAGCGGGATTCCATAGCCATGGGCATGCGACTTGCCGGAGCTGCTGCTGCTGCTGCTGCTACTGTTGCTGGTGTTCTGCTTCTCGCTCTTGATCTCCATCTTGGCCACCAGCAGATCGCGCTGGCCGAGGAGCTGCTGCTGGCGCTGCTGGGACTTGATGAGGCTGTTGTTGCTGGTGCTACTGGCGGTCAGCAGGAGACCACCGTGCTAGGGAAGGAATGGAAAATCAATTAATCGGTATAGTTAGGAAAAACTAGAAATATTAGTTTAGAAAATGTTTTTAACTAAGAAATTTGTTTAATTTTCTGTTAAATTATATTTTATTTTCTTAGTATATTCAGAATTTCTAATAATTTTATAAATACCCAAAGAATTGGTCCGAATCAAACTAAAATATCAATTTCTTATACCCATAGTTTCACTCACCTTCGGCTCGAATAGCATCTCCGACTGTAGGTGGGCCAGATTAAGGCTGAGCTGGTGCTGTGAGCTGCTCGCTTGGGAAGTGGGACTGGCGGGGCAGCTGGAGTCCGGCGACATGGGCTCATCCTTGATGGCCGACTCGTCGATCTCGATGTCGGAGCAAATGTCCGGCGACATGCTGCCGTCCCGCATCGACGACACCGAGGAGCTGCAGTCGTTGTCGTACAGGTGCTGAGGTAGTTGAAAGTGCTCCAGATTGGCCACCACCACGTGGTGTGTTCCGGATCCGTGGTGAGGATGCTGCGCATGCAGGCCCTGCAGGCCGGAGGATCGCGTCAGGTCCGCGACGGAGCTGTTCAGGGCGGGATTGCTGCTCAGGCGGCCGATCGCCGTGGCATGCGTGGGCGGGACGTGGAGGGTCAGGCACTTGGGGTCGATGGTCACGCGCCCGCTGGTGGCCGTCTTCGGTGAAATGGCGGGAAGAAAGTCCATGTCTGCGGGGAGAAAGCGGGAAAAAATGAGATAAGTCTATCGAATAAGGAATAAATTAGGAAACTTATGATATTAACATTTATTTTTGCTAAGAAAAAATGGTTTCTGATTCATTTAGAGGCTCTTCATACATTCTCAATATCGATTATACTTGTCAAAAATACCTTAATTATTTAAACTTTTAAAGTTTTAAAGTCTTTAAACAAATAACTTAAATGTATTTTTTAAATTTATGGTCTTTAAACTCAGGTATCTGTATTTGCATATAGAAAATTAATGATTTCGTACAATTAATTTTACATTTAAAATTTACCAGCTCGGAAACAGTTTTAAAAACAAAAAGAAAATATATTTTTAATTTGCTCAAAAAAGACTTAATCGACACGTCATCCAAATCAACTGCCAACAGCTTTTAAACTAAATATGTAGATATTTGTACAACGGCAACACTGCGTATGAATAATTAGTATCGAAAACAAATTGTAAACTTTTAAAAAGCTTTATGATTAGTTTTGCAATGTAAAAGTAATTCTTTATTTCAAACACATTATTGTTTTGTAAATACATTAAAAGATTTTGTTGTCCATTAAATCTAGAGATTATGTAAAGAACATATTTTGTGAATTAAGCAAGTAACTAGATCCAAGATAAGAGCTAGAAGCTCAAAATGAATTCATGAGATCACATTTTCAATAATCGGTTTTAATTACTCCAATTCGGTTAACGTCGGTTTAAATCGGTTTCAGATGGACTAAGTTAATTGTTATTTTCCCCAAAATAATTAGCTCGCAGCCATATTTGCTCTCACCTGTTTTTTTTTTGTTCGATAGACAATGGTCAAAAGCAAATAGAGCAATATGTGTGCAAATATGCTGGCCAAATATTATTGCGACTAACCCACATAATTATGCAAGAATAGGAGTTCTATTCTGTAACTGAGCAAATACCAGATCACTTTCCTTTGCCAGCGCACGCGTCAATTCCCCGAGTTGCACTTGTGTTTGCACTTGATATTCTGTTGTTTCAGTTTTTTATATTTTTCTGGCAAAACTTTGCCCCTTCCACTCACCCCCCTCCACCGTAGCCTCCACCCGCTACATGAAAAATTTCGTTTTAATTTTATTTACACAGTTGCCGTACAGTTTCCATAAAATTACAAATAATAACAGAACGAAAAAAGAGAAGCCCAGAACTCGTCTAGGGCAATTATACACAGTTTCTGCCTTCATATGTACATACGAACAACTGATATCGCGTCAAAGTACAAAACTTCATGCACGAGTACTGCGTTAAATTGCTAAATGCTACCGCGACACTAGAAACAGAACAGACCGGAGCTGAAACTGTTTTTCAACTGTTATTCTTGTCAGCGTTGTTTTCACTATGTACATGGCCTAAATTAACCAACTGCCAACTGTGTTTGGATTGCTATTTGGGGCTTACGGCCTGCCCAAAAAATTATGAGTGGCTCTATGTCTGGATGCAATTGCCCGAGTTATCGATAATCGCTCTGTTTCACTCGATTTGGAATTTAGTCGTTTGAATTTTTTTGAACCATCTTTCTTTGCTAACATATTAAATATATGTTTATTTTATACGATTCAATTACATAAGTATAATTGAGCATCACTAATCGTAGAAATTATTTTTTCGATAAGGAAATGATAATAACGATAACAACTTTTTGAGCAAATCGCTTGGGTTCCTATAACAACAGTTTACATTTTAAAGGTAATACCTTTCATAACTACTGAGGAAATAAGAAACAATCTTAACATATAGCCAATTGATCCATTCTTCATTTGTAATGACATTATATGTTGTAGGAATACAAACAATAAGTTGTATTTGATCGATAACTACAAACGATAAGTTGTATACGGTCGATAATTAAAATGTAATGAATGTTGAGTTTTTTAAATGATTTACTAGGTTTAAAAGATAATAAGAACTATACCTATAGCTATTGAACCACATCATTCCTTGGTAAAATAGTAATACATACCCTCCATCTTGGTCTGCAGGCTTTTTGGTGAATCGGGCAGGGAGTCAACGTCGCTGCTGAGGCTGTAGGAGTGCTCCGTCTTGATCGGCTGTGTGCCATTGAGCAGGGCATCCGAGATGAGCTTGTCGTTGAGTATGACGGTGGGATCTTTGACGTCGCGTTCGAACAGCCAGTCGTGCATATCGTGATCGGGGCTGATTTTCAAGGATTCCTGTAACAGTGCACAAAAAGCGAAAAGAGAAAAAATTAGAAGCGAACAAATGGTTTGCAATTAGTAAATGTACAAAAGTCATTCATTGTCGTGTTGCACAGCGATAGCACGCTTATATAATTAAACACAAAAACTGAATGCGAAAAACAAAGGTACAATTGCCAAACCTACATATATACGACCTATGGCAAAATCGCACGAGAATCGCAGACCCAAAACGCAATGCAGATAACTCAAAAAATAATGTATATATATAAAAAATGATTTGATTTCAGGAGTACATATATAGCCCAGATCCCGACTGCCCATGCATACGATGGCCTCTTCAATGGAACGTGGGCCATGCAATATATTTTTGTTGTCAATCTTATCAGAAGACATTTTACCGTCCACCGCGATCGGCGATTCGGACGTACCCTTGAAATATTTGTTGTTGGGCGGGGCAATCAGTAGAGAGAATTATTTTAAAGTTATCAATCGTTAAGTCATTATTTTCGGGGACTTGCAAATCAGTGATGGGAATTATTCTCACCTGGGTGGAGTACAATCTTCTAGGTTATGTAATCGGTGCTTGAAATTTATGGTGTTATAATGGTATTGGTAACTCAGTGGGTATTCCATATATATTTCAATGATCTATATATATTTCTGAATGATTTTCTAAAATTAACTCCTATATTATGAAGGCTTTAAAGATGGCTTTTTTTATTTCATACAAACATACTTTTAAAAATGTTTTGATGATATTTTTAAAGCCCAATTATAGTTGGTAGTTCAATGTGAATATCTTTTTACAAGCTATTTCTGTTTGGAAGTATATTCGTCTTTAAAAACTCTGAACAATTTTAATGATTGTAATTCAGGAATATGATATGAATAAAACCGCTTTTAAACATGGCTTTTTACCATACATTTGATATAAAAAATTAATTTTCTTCCAATAAAGTGCTCATTTCAAAAGATTTAAAATATATATATAAGGTTTTTGAAGAAAACGCATTTTTAAAATTGGGTCCTGAAGGACCTTTCGATGACAGTTATCGGTCATCGTCCATTTAAACTTGTCAATCTAGTTTTGGCGCGAGTTGTTTGGCAAATGGTTAGCAGAAATTTCAATTAAGCCTCGCGAGTGAAGTGAAGTGGAGTGGAGTGTGCAAGATTGTAATTAATTATAATGAACAGACCCAGTGTTAAGTGTTTCGATGCGGCGATGAGCGGTGGAACCAACCTTGGGAATCACTCACAATCGGAGTGCAGCACAAATACATAACTCAAACGTGTTCTATTTGCCGCCAAAAAATCCAAAATCACCGAATGGAATGGTGAAAACAAACAGCTCCAGAATAAATTTGGCTTGGCATTTTGTTTTAACGCTAAAGCCCGCCCGATGATGTAATTCCCGAATGTGCCAGATTTTTGGACTGGATTCGCTTAATTGTCGCCAGGCATAATCTACGGCAATAAATTGCTGACCCATTTAAAGGCGGCAAATATGCACATGGATATAACTATATATTCCAGTGAGTGCCTGTCTGTCTTACTGTCTGTCTGCGATAAAGAAGTGCATGTAATTACGCTTTAAAAACACATTTGTATGTAAAAGAAATCCCAGTCGCGCACCGCCTCTAAAAGTTCACATTCTAAGCCAAGTCAAATGGAATCCAGTTTTGGCCATAAAAAAAAGGGAACGTCGTGACAGCGAATGTCGATATGTAAGCTGGTACGACTCTTCCCGACTCTTTTTCGGTCTTTGGTTCTCCAAATTCTTCAGGTTCTTCGGGTTCTTTCACACAATCCGCCGTACAAGGCACATACCCGTAAACCTAAACATTGATTACCATTTGATGTGTTTATGTGGTACTCGCATTTACGAACGAGGGTGGTTTAAGCACTGAGGAAGTGTAAAGAGCGATATATTCAAGAAACTTTCACTCACACATCAAATATAACACTTTCAATATATAATATCCGGCAAACTAAAAAAATAATTCCAAATTTTCATTTCTGTGTAGTCGGCCTACTTCCAGTTTATTAATTTCCATTAATCATAAACTCTCTCTAATCATATTAAAGTTACAAATTGTTGACGTGCCAAATTTTATAATAGAAATGTAGGATAGGGATAGGAAAGATGAACAAAGGTGTAACCACAAATCAACGTTAAAGATCTACTTTTTTCATATACGCCATATAAAAAGCGTACTATATTCGTTTAAAATTCGAGTTGCAAACTGTTTTTTTTGTTTTGTTTGGGAATAAAAAGAGTAGTAGGTTTTTCTTAAATACAAGTTAGTGGAAATGTAAAATTCAATATAAAATTTTAACTGATATGAATATTCATATATTTTATAATTTTAACTTCAGAGGAAATAAACACAATCGGAAATGAGAACGGGGCTTTTAGTTTTTTTGTAGTAGAAAGTAATTATAAATGCATTTATCAACTAGTTCATAAAGCTACTGTTTTGAAATAGAATTGTCGTAGATCACGGATAAAGGCTGTAAACAAGTTTTAAATTATAGCTTACGTAATAGCTCAATATTTTCCGACAGTAAGCGAAGTTCCTCGAAGTAATTATATTTTACTGATAGGTAATGATATTTACAAATAAAATTTATTGGTTTAGTTTAACAGAAATATTTAAACCCATCGATTTAATATTTTTATGAGTAAATATTAATAGAAACTTGTAATACACTTAAGTTGTTTTCTCTGTCTGATTTATTTCAACACTTTGGATAGTGTTTCTTTTTAATTTTGATGGTAGTCTTAATAACGTTGCCAGTGATTAGCAAAAAATGTAAAATTGCAAAAGAAAGTATGACATTAGGCAGCAATTTCTCTTGACCAGAAACCGACTGTCAGTCGATGTTTACTGTAATTCATAAATTCTCAAAGCCAACGAAAGTATGGAATAACCGAGAATTAACGATCCACTCATTATGCTAATACTCGTGGGCCGGCCCTCGTACATACATATTTGTTTTTTTTCGTTTCGTTTGGCCGGTGCATTAAAACACAAATACACAAGTGCTTTCTCCGCATTTTAGCCGTCGCCACACATCGGGCCAAGAATCAGCAAGCAGTATGGTATGGTATATAGTATACTACTTATAAGCACCGAGAAGCGTAAATAAAACGTGAGTGTGCGTGTATGATGAGTTCAACGAACCCCGGGAATTGTTGAGAATTAGCAATTCTTGAAAAATGCTACCAAAACGGGCAACACACACACAGATACTACATACAGATACAGATTTACCAAGCAGTCGTACAAATATACCCATCGGCCTGTATACAAATATGTGCGAGTATGTTGCTGCCGATGATGAAAGAAAGAAGAAAGCCAGGAGAAAAAGACAGCAAAAATGCTCGCAGGCATTTGCTACCTCTTTTGTTAGCTGCTGCGGATCAGGTGGGGGCATCATGTTCGGGAGGGGGGTGATATACACACAGGGAAATTCCACACACCAGTTTGGCTATTCTCTACATCATATCTTATCCTAATTTTTGACTGTATTCATTTGATCGCAAATCATATCTAATAATAATAAACTAAAAATCCAGTATCATAGTCCTCAGATAACAATTGTTTATTTCCAATTCTATTTATGTCAGTTGGATCGCAAGTCTTATCAATTTTAAACTGAAATCGGTTTCAGTCTAAGCAGTGAATTTAACATCCTCAGAATCAATGAGCAAACTACATAAATGCCACAGTGACCTTGTCGGAAAATTGTGTAAATCATAAGATAAATATTGGCTTTTAGTATTCGAGTTCATTAACTTCAATGAAGTAAGTAATGGGCTTTTGACAGTGGGTTATGCACATAGAAATTAGATTATAGTTTTTTGCAACCGATTACTGAAACCAAAATAGTTTAAACCAATAAACGAAGCAATCGAATAGTGAATGCATAAGAAATTGTTTTTTTATTTTGCTAATTTTCTTTAGCTGTCAAAATAAATTGTTTGCGATTTTGGTATGACTTTTATAATATTAAATATTAATCATAGCTTAAATATTTTAAACTCTTCACACCACTCCAAACCATTGTTAAGAAATTTAATTTATAAAGATTTATTATTACGTTATATTAAATGTGTTTAAATATTTTTCCCCGTGCACCTGTAGCACCGTTTGTTGCACGTTTCAGGTGGGTTTCGCCGCCTTTTCCCTGCCACTTCTCCGATTTGTGTGTTCCAATGAAAGCGCGGCACCGGTGAAATGGCTAAGGGCGCCTTCTCAAGTGGAAAGCGGTGCGGTGCGATGCTCGAGTTGGAGATGGAGATGGAGTTGGACTCGGAGTTTGGAGCACCTCTTAGGCCACAAAAACCGCTTGAACGCGGCTAAGCCCGACTTGACTTCACTTGGCAATCGATTGCCTAACCATCGGCCATCGGAGGAGCCTGTGCAATGCAATCATTTGACCCCATTTCGTTGGCGATTCACAAAAACCTGTTGCGACTGTCACGTGCAGAGAATTGTTCTGCGAGAACGTTGCTTTGCCAGTTCTTCAGGTGAGGTGCCTCGCACGTCACTTTGGAACCCGATCAGGCAAGCTACTTTGGAAACGATAAAGGCGGAATAAAAATACAAAAAAAATACAAAATCAAAATAGCCGCCGGAGGGGTTTTCTTTATCTTACGGCATTAAATTAACATACACACATGGGTGTTGGTGTTGCCGGGTCTCCCGGTTGGCCATTATACAATTTTATTCAAATTTCCAGTCTTCGGGCATGTCTCTCCCCGAAAAAAAAACAAGAAAGGGTGAAAAAGAGCCACAAACATACAAATTCATAAAAATAATTAAACTGGTTATAGTTTTTTTTGATCGTTTGGTTTGGTTTCTCCTCTTTCTTCTTTCTTTCTACCTTTGTATCTCCTTTTGGCTTTTATTTTTTGGCCTTTTTGTCTATACATTTTTCGATTTTTGCTTTTTTGCTTGCTCCACAATTTGGATTGATTAAATAATGTTGCAGCAAGCGAAAACCTT